TAATTGGATGAGTCTGTACATTCCAGAAAAGGGTGAGGATTCAAGGACAGACAAGGAGGCTTTGCAGTTGACAACCTTTTTCCTTCTCATGGAAAAGCAACATATTATAAAACAATTTTTTATTAGTAACTGTCATAATTAAAATGCTCCCTAGGCATTTTAAAACGCATAATTTAATATGAGACATGACCAAATTAACTATTCAGTATCCTTTAGGCCATGTGCTTTATCTTGCTTCCTTTGTTTTTATTTTTTTCCTTCCTGTATTGACATCTTCTCTCCTCTGTACTGTTCTGTTTATTGGGGGAGGGGGAGGGAAATTCTTTTATTTGTTTTACATATAACAATGTAAATGTTTGGAATTTGAAGGACTGATTGCCTTTGTTTTAATGGTAATGAATATAACCTTGGTCTCACTTGCTGGGGCTATTACTTTTCTGTTTTCAATGGAGAAAAAAAAATCTGCCTGTGGTTTTCCCTTTAGAAAATGAATTATTGCAAGACAAATGTAAAGATTCCTTCCCATTCACATGCTGATATGTGGTGAAAATTATGATTTATTATCTTCCTTTCATTTTCAATAAAATACTCCCTTATTCTTTTCTTCTCTCTCATTTTTCTTTTCTTTTTTTATTGTTGTTCAAAACATTACAAAGCTCTTGACATATCATATTTCATCATTTTTCTTTTCTATTCCCTCTTTCCTTCCCTCCATTCTTCTTTCTTGCCAATAACCTATTAGCCTTAACAATTTCTTTTTCATAACATACTCCCCCAAGTAATATAAAATTTTCTTGAGAGAATATAATGGGACCTTGCACTGGTGGACTCTTTTCACTGAAAATAAGAGAAACCGAATTTAAAATACCTTAAAGGTAGAGATTTATAGGCTCATTAGATTCCAAGAACAAGGTGATGTCTATGCAGTATGGAAGCAGCTAGATCTAGGTGCTCAATAGTGTGGCCAGGACTCTCCTTCCCTTCTTCCCTTGCTTTTTTCCACTTAGCCTCTCTTCCTGTGGTAGTGAGAAAGCCAACAACAACTCAAATCCTGATAATGGAGAATGCAATGTTAAGAACCAGTTTCACCTTTGAATCAGAATATAAGAATCTTTTTGCAAAGTCTCAAATCTGGAGGTAGAAACAGTGTTAAAAAGAGACACACTTTGTAAACACCTTGGCAAAAGGAAAATTGTCACTGTCCATTGCAGGGAAGATAGGGCTTCCTCAGGAGCCGCTGCTCCTCTGTAATTTAGTTTAGTGAAACTCCAAGGGAGGAAAGGCAACTTTTTAAATAATAGCTTTATTGAGAGAGAATTCTTATACCATAAAATTCACCCTTTTAAAGTGTATAATTAAGTGTTTTTGGTACATTCAGAGTTGTATGTTCATTACCATTGTCTGATTCTAGAACGTTTTTATCACCTCACAGGAAAAGCTTCAGCAGTCACTCACCTATTCCCTTCCCAGACTTTCAAACACCTATCTCCTTTCTGTCTCTGTGGATGTGCCTAGTCAGGATGTTTCACAGAAACAGAATCATATGAAATGTGGCCCATAGTAATTAGCTTCTTTCACTTAGTATAATGCTGTCAAGGCTCATCCATATTAAAATGTGTCATTGGATCATTCCTTTTTAGGGCCAAATAATATTGTGCTTTATGGCTTATTTTCAAGTTTAATAGTTGATGGACATTTGAGCTATTTCTACTTTTTGACTCTTATGAGTAATGTCTCCATGAACACTCAGGTATAAGTTCTTGTGTGGTCATCGTTTTTCAATTCCCTTGGATATAGTCTTAGGAGTGGAATTGCAATAGTGTCTTCTAATATGCGTATGTATCATAATACAAAAGTGAAACACCTTCCTTTACCATGGGGAGGAACCCGTATTTGAAGTGCTGGCCATCACAATTTTTCCTATATTCTGGCAATCAGAGCCAGAGTGGACTTTCTGAGTCAGTCCATTTCATTAATTCACACCAAGCAAAGGACCCAGATTGAAGCTTTTTTTTTTTTTTTTTTTTTTGATACTTGGGATTGAAGCGAGGGAAGCTTAACCACTAAGCCACTTTACCAGCCCTTTTCTAGATTTTATTTGGAGACAGGGTCTCACTAAGTTGCTTAGGGCCTCACTGAATTGTTGAGTCTGCCTTTGAACTCATGATCCTACTGCATCAGCTTCGCTGAGCTGGTGGGATTACAGGAATGCACCACCATGCCTGGCCAGCTTTAAAAAAAAAATATATATATATATATATACATATACACACACACACACACACACACACACACACACACACTAGGGTCAATAGGCAGGAAAGGATCATTGAGTTAAATGAAATACAAAACAAAATAAAATCTGCATTTTCATTCTATATCATTCAGAGGTCAGTTCAAGAAATATTCTAAGTATATTCTCTGAATATAGAAGGATTTTCTTGAGAGAGAAACTTATGTTACTAAAAGGGCTTAAGGGGGTCTGGGGCTGTGGCTCAAAGGTAGAGCGCTTGCCAAGCATGCATGGGGCACTAGGTTAGACCCTCAGCACCACATAAAAATAAAATGAAAATATTGTGTACACCTATAACTAAAAAAATAAATATATATATATATATTTTTTAAAAAAGGACTAGAGAAATAGAAATAAGAGAGTCAGTGCCAAGCTGCTGGTTCCAAGGTGACATATCCTTGTCTTTCTGATCCAGAAACTGAAAACTTACTAATGTCACCCAGAAATGAGAAAGCTATGAGAGTCATATCAGAACTTCTTTGCTACACAGAGATGGTACATAGGGACATGGAGTACAAAGGCTGCCAACTCATGCCTTCCCACACAACTGTCTTTCCCTGCACTGTCATGGAAAGAAGGTAGGTTCTGCCTCTTCTCTAATTTCTTTCCAAATCTCATGAAAGTTCACATCATTGGTGGGACCTCAAACATGTGAAGTGTGGGGAGTGCTGTGTTTGGCATTTCAGCTGTGCAATAAAGAAGGATGGGACATAAAGAATGTAGAAATGTTGTTCCCTGCCAGCGGGCAATATCTAGCACACCTTTAAATCACATAATCTAAATTGCTGTTAGTTCACAACATTTGGCCTATATATGTAGCCATGTTAACATTTAAAGGCTCTCCAGGTGAAATATCAGGACAAAACACGAATTGCCAGTTAGTTGACATTCTCTGCCCTATTTCTCCCATCCTCCTCCATTATCCTTTCAACTCATTTTCCTCCCACGTGTCTTTTAAATCCATTTCTAATTTAAGATGACCAGAACATAAAATGGGATTTATTATATGTCTGAAACTTTATAAATATTAGTTATGTGAATGAATGATTAAATGAATGAATGAATGAATGAATGAAGACCATAAGGTCAACTGTGATTGTTAATTTTATGTGACAATTTGATTGGACTTTAGGGTGTCCAGATTAAGTCTCATTTCTGGTTTGTCTGTGAGGGAGTTTTTAGAAGAAGTTGGCCTTTGAATGACTTCCTTGGTAGAGTAGATTGCCCTCTCCAATGTGGTGGCTCTATCTAATGCCGTGGGATCCTGAATAGAACAAAAGATGGAAGAAAAGGAATATTCTACTTCCCCTTTTCTACCTGACTGCTTGCCCTGAGACATCTCATCTCATCATTTCCTGTCTTTGAACTTGAATTAGCTCTTCTGGTTCTCAGACCTTCAGAGTCAAGCTGAATTATACCACTGACTTTCCCAGATCTCCTTGCAGATGGCTGCTGGTAACTGGTCTGTCTCCATGATCACATGAGCCAATTCCTCACAATAAATATCCTCTGTGTGTGTGTGTGTGTGTGTGTGTATACTAAATGAATTTCCATTTACATATGTATATGTATTTATTTGATAAGTTGGAATCTGTTTTATTTACCATCTTCTTCAAACTTATATTTTCATTTAAAATTTTTGTTTATTTCACAAAGCAGAAGGATGAACCATCTTACTTCTTTATTTGTCCCTTAAAACAATACATGGACTTTAAGTGCTGGTTCTGACTGGGGCTGGAATTTGAAGTTAGGATGTTAATCCCCATGAGTTATTGGGGTTTTCTTGATGATTTATAAGGTTAATGTGTTTTTCATTCTGAACTAATTTACAATAATATTTATAAAAAATTTGGCTGGAAGTGTTTTATTTTGTATCATTTTTGTCTTCAGTCTGCATTTGAATTTGCTAGTTGAGCTGTGTGAATTGAGAAGTGATAAAAAAACAGTGGTAGCAAAATTCACAGTTTGGAGTACACGATTAGGGCGATTAGGGCATATTGTTGTGTAAATAAAGTAATTACTAAGATTTTGACTGTATCCCTGTGCTTCAATTTTTATCAAGCTATTCCTGAATTGCCCTATACTTCCAAAGGTTACAAGTAAATTTAGATTTGCTAGATATAGCACTTTGGGACACAGACATTTATCAAAAGATAAATGCCTATTGGACTTACATTGTGGATCTACTAGGCATCGAGTGCCACATTAAACATATTCTGGCCACCAGCTTCTATGAAATTGATGTCTTTAATCAAGTCATGCATATAAATTTGATCAGTGCTATTCTGTATGGATTGGGATCTAAGGATTTATATATAAAACTTAACTATAAGAAGATATATCCTCAGATATGCAGAGTCATGTTGGAGATGTCCATGGGTTTCCCCATTTTCACACTTAGATTGCTAGGTGAGGTCAAAGCTAAATTCTAATTCCATTTAGTTTTATGGAATAATCCACCTTTTCTCTTTCCTGAACAGTTTCCAATTATTTAGCTTTTTTCCTCTAAAATCCATGGAGCACAGTTAAGCACTATGTTCCCTCTAATTTCATAGCATATTTGAAGGAGCTTTGTAAAGAATGGAGAAAGAAGAGTACCAAGCATGAAAAAAGGCAGGTTCCTGAATCATATTTGCAACTTGAAAAATTATTTGGGGAATGATGCTGACATGTTTAGTCAAGAGTAAAATGACATCAAAAAACAATATTCTTTTCAAGGTAATAATTTAGATTTATTTTTAAAAAGGAAAGAAGAGTTCTCTTGTTGATTTTATAAGAGCAATGGCAACATTCAGCCATTTCTTTGGCTAATTCATGCAATCCTCGAGCAAAACTTAAGCCCAGGTTACTTTGGTAGGATTTAAAGTAGTAAGACATATGTGAATAAAATGATATTAGGTCTGTGTAACTCTGAATAATAAAATAAAGATTAAGATGGTAATATGTCCCTCAAGTACTGGTATTTAAACTTTAAAAATCAATCAAGAGAGAAGATTAAGTGGTGTTTCTTTGGTACTAAAAATGTAAAGCTAAGACCAAATTGTTCTATTTTCACAGATTTAAGATACAAAGAATGATATTTAAAGACATTAAAATGACTATTAAATTCTCTTCAGTTTGTAAAGAATCTCCTATGAAGTACACTTAGAAGAAATCCCTGAGTATATTAAATACTCTATTAGTATCTTCCTTCATAAACAAAGAGGAACAATTTAAAAGCTTTGCAAGACGTCAACACAGTACTTAGCAAAGTCAGTATCCATTCATAAGGCTCTCTCCTTAGTGCTTCTAAATTTAGACCATTAAATGCTTAATAGGAAAAACAACAACTTCACAAATTAAAAAAATATGACATTTGAACATATTAACTGTTATTTGATAAGTTAAAAAACCATTCTTTTATGGTCTCTCTATTTTGTTTTAGCCACTCAATATTGTTTTTCACTGTTTCCACCACTTGTTCCCTAGGTTTTTCTCCTGCTCCAGCTTCTGGATATCTTTCAAAAAAGCTCTGCATCTAGAAAAGACAGGGAAATAATTAGGAATGCCATTTTAATCTCAATTATTCTTCAAGAATTTCATTCACAAACTGGGTGTGCTTCCTTCCTACCTGGCCACTCAGTATCATTGCAAAGCACTGAGATCTGCCTCTCCATTAGGAAGCATGACCTGCGGCTTTTGGACCCCTGCCAGCTTGCCAAGCCAAGAGGCTCTGACAGGGTGGGGAAGGAGGGCAGCATGCCAGTGGCTGGCATGCCCATTTCTGCTCCTGCTCACTTTTCTATTTTCTGTGCATTCCTCAGGTGTTACCTGGAAAATCTGGCCAGTGGAATGGCAGTTTTATCTAGTTTCTTACTCCAAGAGTTTGTAGCATTTTAATGTGCTTTCAGTTCATTTATTTCAGTTCATTCATAAAAAAAGATCTCTGTTCAACTTGGTTCTATTCTCCTTTCTACCCTCCAAAACTCTCCCCAAAACCCAGTCATAGTAGTATTTTCCATTCAAAAAATAATCATTTTGTTTCTTAACATAAGCAAGAATCTTCAAATCTAAATAACATCAAACGATCTTTCTTTGTCCAGTATTAATGGACATTTTTCCTCCCTGGAAATTCAGAAATTGGGGATTAGTTTTAAAATTCCAAAACAATGAATCCTGAATTAATCAAATCTTGATCAGAGTTATAATTACCAGGAAAGGGGAAACTCGCTGTTCAGGCTTTGGTGAACCTAAGGCTTCATATTTCTCAACTTTTAAAGTTTGTTTTTTCAGTTTATAAAAAAAATAGGTGTACATTTTATTAGATACAAGCATTCTCTTTCTGTCTTGTTTTATTTGAATGGAGATAATACCACTTCTATTTGAGAAAAAAGGTATAATTATATTCCTTTCTAGACAAGTAGAGAGGAATTTATCTTCGTACCTGCCAGAGTTGTACTTCAGTGTTGAATGGCTCTGCTATAGTGACAATCCGGCCAAGGTTTCTGTTATTGAGTGTAAATCTGAAGAGAAAAGTAGAGGAATAAAAGGGAGTATAAGTGCCTGAGCTTTCAATCTTTTTCTAGAAATAAAGATCTCTTTTTTATTTTTTGTATTTTTTTAAAGTAATTTTCAAAGTAAGTTAAACACAGAAAGAAAACACATTTAACTGAAAAATAGTTCTATTCAGGAGAAATGCTTAGTAACTTCTGTGGGCTTTTGTTGTTATTGTTTTGTTTTGTTTCTTTGTAGACAGATTCATACCACTTCCTTAGATATGGTAGACTGTTTGCTCTATTCTCCAATTAGATACTTTTTTTCCTGCACACAGAAGCACTCAGCTAATGACCACATTTCTCAGTCTTCCTTGCAGCTAGGTGTAGACACTGGGCCCAGTTCTTATCAATAAAGCAGAAACTCAGCTACTCCATGCATCTTCTTGCGGGAGCAGAACTTTGAACATAGGCTATTAACTCTGCTTTTGGAAAGCAGAAGCTTTAGTAGCTATCTGCATTTTGGGGGTTATGAGCTGTATGTTTTCAAAGTAATTTTCAAAGTAAGTTAAACACAGTAAGAAAACAAATTGAAGTAAAAATAATTCTATTCAGGAGAAATTCTTAGTAATGTACTATAGATCTATATGATTTATAACAAGTTGGTTAAGCTAAGTACCAAAACAGAATTGTAGATATGATATTCTATTCCTGTCATTTTTGCATAGTCTCTGGTTAAGAGTAAGATGCAGAAATTTTCTTACAGACCATCATATAAAAAGGTATGACACAGGTACAGATATCACCATTAGTTATAGTGCAAGGAAAACAACCACAAAATTCTGTATAAAGCTGGAGCACTGAAATGTTGGGAAGGATATAGGAAGATTTAGCAACATACAAAATAGTAGGAGAAATTTTAATCTTTAAAAATTATCACCTAGCAAAAGCAAAATCTATGAAGACAAAAACTGGTAAAGTTTGTTTTACACAAATTTTAAAAAGAATCTGCCATGAACAAATTTAAAAGTCAAAAATGAACTAGGGAAAAATCATGTAACAGATACGATAGATAACAAATATTTTAATCATATAAAGAAACTTAGAAAGTGTAAGATGGTGAAATACGATAATGTGACATTCGCAAAGGAATGAAAAGTTGCCCCTGGGAAAAAGTTGAAATAGTCTAGTATTCAGTCACGATCTTTTGTACGGTAGGGCCAGTGTGCACTCTTATTTACCATAGACACCACTGAATTTAATTCCATCACACATTTCATTCCTAATGTCGTCAGTCATGATCCAAAATGTGCCTGTGTCTCTTGAACCTTCTGCCTAGCCTTCTGGAACCATGTGGAACTGTCCCTTTGCTGGAAACACTATTTGTCAGTGAGATCCTGCTTATTTTCCTTCTTTCTTTGTTGTAACAGCTGGGGAGAATGGAGTGCTCCTGCTCCCCATTGCTGCTCCTAGACCATTATTCCTTCACTCCCTTGAAAGACTTCTCTCTGGTTACTTCCTCTCAAATACAATACCCTTTGGCACCTGGCTCCTCCAGGCTATCCCATCATGAGGTGATTTTACGGTGTTAGCTCCTTAGTTTCTTGACCTTATTTCCAATGATATATTCTCCACTCTATTTCAATCAACAAATTCCCATGATACCTTGTGATCATCCATAAGTAATTTGCACCTGAAGTTCTTAATTTATGTACCTTCCATGACATAATCTACCTTTTAGTTTCTACTATGACCATTCTTGGATTTCTGCCCCCTTGGCTATCTCCACCCCTACTTTCTCCTGGACCATTAGATCTTCCTTATTTTCAACTTATTTCTTTAGTTAGTTCAGGTAACATTATCTACCATTTCCAATAACATTTTTGCTGTATGCCCTCAACTCCCGTGTACTTTAATAACTTATGTCTGGAAAAACTCTAACTTCAGGTGAAATCAACTACCCATTTTCTCTGAGCTTCTATCAGGTGGTCAAGTTCTGTCAAGGAAAGTCACTGAACTTTCCCTATATTGTTTCATTATAAATTCATGAATTCAAACTTAACTTAAATGGACTCTCACACTGATGATGCTCCCATATTACCCTAGCCAACTCATTTACTTCCTCTCTGCATTACCTTTTTCAAAGATTTTTCACTCTCCCAACCTCTGAAACTGCTTCTTCCCTCCTAAAGATATCCTTGCCTCTGCTTCACAGAGAAACATACAAATACACCTTTCTTTTCATATCTAGGCATTACTCTTGTCCCCTCACTTTCATCTTCCATTTCCAATCTACCACCAGGTTCTAAATGTTATTGTTGTCTCTTCATTGTTACCATTACATCCATAGTCCAATCTGTCACTGGCTTTTGCTGGGACTATCACAGCTGCTAACGGCTTTTCCCAAATCCCACTCTGGCCCCCGTCTTACCACCAGAGCTTCTTTTCAAAGTAAAATTCATCATTTCACTTTCTTACTTAAAAACCTTCAGTGACTCATCATTGCTTAGGACACAAGTCCAACTTTTTACATGACTCTGCGAGTCTTGGTCTTTACTTTCTCTCTCCTAATAGGTCTTCATCCAGAAATGCTACACTTCCTATCTGCCTAATTCACTCCTGCACTTCCTCTGGCTCAACCATCATGTCCTTAGGGAAGCCCTTTCTTCCAACTTCTTTCCACTTGGTCTATTTGGTCTATAGCTATTTACATTTTGCGGGTTATGATCTGTATGTTTTCAAAGTAATTTTCAAAGTAAGTTAAACACAGTAAAAAAAAAAATCTATTCAGGAGAAATTCTTAGTAGTGTAGTATAGATCTACATGATCTAAAAACAAGCTGGTTAAGCTAAGTACCAAAACAGAATTGTAGAGATGATATTCTATTTTCCCCTTTATATTATATTGGTACACCCTGAACTACTTCTATTGGTAGTTGTTACAATTTTAAGTACACATGCATTTGTATGATTCTTCACATATTATTGGTGTCTGTTACTAAACTCTAAGCTCTATGAGGACAGAGAACGAGGTTTGCTTCTCCTAAATGTTCCATCCCCAACACCAGTCATAATGCTTAGCACATGGTAGGTGCTCCACGTGACTTATTGGATGGAAGATTTATAGTTTAAAATGAGATATTAAGTCTTATTTATTCAGTTACCAAGAATACTTAAAAATATCAATCTTGAATATTGGAAGGGTTGGAAAAATGGGCAATTGTTAGTGAAATTTTTCTGTATCATGATTCTACAATATTTATCAAAAACTCTAGAAATGGACCCATGCTTTAACCCAGTAGTAATACTTCTAGTATTAACTGTATCCCAAAGTTATTGTCAGGGACATTTGAAAAGAACAATGAAACTCAGTTTCAAAGGTATTGTTCACAATACATTATTTATAGTAGTCAGGGAACAATGACATTGTCTAAAAGATGGCTAAGTAAACTAAAATATATTAAAATACTATTGGGTCCTTAAAAACAACGTTCAAAAACCAACCTAAAGACATGAAGAGACATCCACAAGAAAGAGTGATATGTATAAAAATCAAATTATAAAGTCACATGTATAATTCCATTTCTATAAAATAAATAAATAACCATAGAAAATGACTAGAGGAAAAATGGTAATGTGACAACAAAATTATTTTTAGGTTATATTGCACTATAAAAGGCATCATAAACAAGATAAGAATGCTTATCTGCCTTTTGTAAAAAAAGAAAAAAAATCAGTTCTCTAATAAGAGGGGATTTTAAGAAGAAAGACATACTGAGTTCCTGAAATGAGATTTAAAGTCTGCTACAATGCAGGTAATAAGAATTTGTCGATGAACTACAATTTCCATAGTACCTTTCTGTTTTCTTCTTAGTGACTAAACAATCAAAGAAAATATTTGAGAGCTAGCAATAAATAGATTAATAAAAATTACAAGTACCTGTGTAAATCTAGAAATGAGAGAATCAAATATGTTTATCCCAAGAAACCAATATCATATCAAGAATAGAAAGTCAGGGGAAATATGCTGGATATTTATCATATTGGTTATTTTTTAAACTAAAATAAGGATTTAATAATATTGTAAATAATTAGAAAATTATATAAAAATTATCTTCTTGGGCTTAATATTTATGTAAGTATTACTGTGTTACCCCTAAGAAATTATTTTGATGCACACAGAACTTTTAATTAAGTTCTTATTAAATTATGTTGTCTATGAGATAGTGTTTAGTTTCAGTCATGTTTGATCATGTTCTTTAAGCCAAAATTATTGACTTGATTTTTCATCTGTTGCCACAGACTAAAAACGGACTTTATTATACCAAACTACTGACTTAGTGGGTGCTTTCAACTTCACAGTTTCACCTAAGAGTTTAGTAGAAGAAACAAAGAATAATTTCCAAGTATCTTTGGGACTTTGTGGTCAAGGCTCAAACTGGCAAGGACATTAGTTGTCATAGAAATCACATGACAAAAGCTTTATTTTAAAATGTAGAATTATTTTAGAATGACAATAAGTAGTTCAGAAATAGAAGCAATAAAACGACTTATCTTAAAATTTTGAAAACACAGTTTGGAAAAAAATTTGGCTCATTTCTGCTTAATTTGTCATATAATTTTGCATGGGGAAATTCTATTTATTCAAACCAAACATAATTAATATTGCTTTTTTGTGTAACTGTCAGACATGTGGTTATTATACAATTTTATGTTTGGGGCCATTTAAAATAATGCCTCATGAAAGATCATTAGATTGTGAAGAAATACTCAAAGCCTTGGGCAAGAGTTTTAGAACGGTTCTGGAAATGCAATTTATTTTCCCTAGGAAAAAATTCAATTTATTAGGTCTAATACATTTATTTTAGGCTAGATGTTTATGACCTTTATGGCAGGTAAAACCTATTTTTTTTCTATTTCTTAATTTTTTAATTAAGAAATAATGAACTGGGCTGGGGTTGTGGCTTGCAGGTAGCATCCTCGAGTAGCATGCTTGAGGCACTGGGTTTGATTCTCAGCACCACATAAAAATAAAATAAAGATATTGTGTCCACCTATAACTAAGAAATAAATATTAAAAAAGAAATAAGTAATTTTTAAAAATGAAAAATGCAATATTTGAAATAAGTTTCACTAGAATTATTAAAATAAGCCGTGAAAAATACTCTGTTTAATAAATAGTAAGGGAATGACCATTTTATTTTGTGAAATAAAACATTCTTGTCTTTTCGCAATAATTCAAAAGTAAATACTGTGTTTTATTTACATAGGTTCCTTATACCATACACCAAAGAAAAAATAAAAATAGTTTCATAGTATTTCAACTAAAACAAAATTCACAGTGTGTGTCATTAGGCATTTCATTTTCGGGAGAAAAAATGAACAGATTACCTTGCATAATATTATGTTATAACATACATGGTTTTTTGTTTGTTTGGTTATTTTGTTTTTTGGTACCAGGTTTGAACCCAGGGTTGCTTAACCACTGAGTCACATCTTCAACCCTTTTTATTTTGGGACAAGGTCTAACTAAGTTGCTGAAGCTGATTTTGAACATGTGATCCTCCTGCCTAAACCTCCCCAGCTGTTAGGATTACAGGCCTGCACAACCATGCCCGGCAACAGCATGTTCTTAACAGGTACATTTATTCATTCTAAACCAAATATTTCATTGAAAAAATTATAAACAAATGAACGATGCACATGAGCAACACAAACACACACATGTACATGCACATACATACACCAGCCAATCTTTAGAGACCGATGAACAATTACACTCATTAGTCACAAGAATAGAAAAGGTAAAAATCTTATCATGAATAGGCAAAAGCAATGTGAAACACCTTAGTTGAGAGCTGGAGATATAATGTGGATCTCAGAAGGAAAAGAAATAAAATATCCACAATGCCACTAGTGAGTAGAATAGAAAATAGTAAAGAAATAGCAGGATTGTTGTAGTCGGTATTTCTCACATGGCAGTCATTACCAAGTAGGTGGTGCCTCTGGATGACTTGAGAGAGTGGGAAGGGAAAACACAAGCTGTTTCCTAGGTGAGGACTACAGGTGGTAAATGTGCACCAATATTTACACATTTATTTGTTTTGTTTTGTTTTGTTAGTATTGGGGATTGAACTCAGGGGTACTCAACCACTGAGCCACTATTTCGTATTTTATTTAGAGACTGGGTCTTACTGAGTTGCTTAGTGCCTTGCTTTTTTGAGGCTGGCTTTGAATTTGTGATCCTCCTGCCTCAGCCTCCCAAGATGTTAGGATTATAGGTATGCGCCATTGCACCCAGCTACACATTTATTTGAGGCATGTATTTATTTTACATTTTTTTAAAAAATGCTTTTTTTCATGAAAATTGCGTTTAGAGAATCAGAACCAAGAATAGCAATATTTCTTCTGCATGGGGCTTAAGAAATTCTTAAGAAGTTTGGAAAAGTATCTCTTTCACTGACTTTGCTCTTCTCTTGTCTCATTTTAGAACTGTTGTTATCAGGCTGGGAGTGTAGCTTAATGACAGAAAGCGTGATTTCCAAGCCTGAGGCCCTGGATTCAATTCCCACAACAAAAAAATCCTCAAACTTTCCTTCACCACTCCCACCACCTCCCCCAAACCCTGCTAATGTCAGTGAAGAACTATTCAGAACTATTTAAGGAACTATTTAGAATACAAGTGTAATTATCTGGTCAGAGGAGATCATACAGTATCACCCATATAACCTCAATAAGATATAGGGTTCTAAATTGAGCCTAGGTTCAGGAATTCTCGTTTAAGTTTCAAATATTGAGACCTAAATATGTGCCTGGCATTATCCTAACAACTAGCACAATGAGAAGAATTATATTACCCAAACTAAAAATAATGCCATTTAGCCATCTCTCCAGATCTCAGAATCTTTTAGATCGTTTGGAAACAATAATTTCCAGTAAAAAAAAAAAAAAAAATTGTGGTTAAAATTCATTAGTATGTTGCTTACTTGGAAGGTAAATACCATTTTCCTTTACCTCTGAGGATGTGTTTTTTCAGATATTGTATAGATGTCAGTAGAAGTACACCAAAGAGAAAAAGGAAGGAACTTGTAAATAATATCAAACAAAGACAACATAGACCATCATACCTGTTGACTAGGTACTCCCAGTTGAGCTGTATCCAATTCCACGCCATGCTCTTCCCATAGCTATTATAGGAGATATATCGAATGACTGTAAACACATCCTGAGTTTTAATAAGGTCTGGGTCCTTGAGCAAATCCAAATACCTAAGAGAAGTCGAACAAAAACAATTCAAAAATGTTCACTGTTAGCTAAATGCCAATACAGTATAACTGTTGTTCCTGCAATTCAGTAGTGAGTTAAATATGATAAATGATGAAACACAATTTAAAAAGGTTCAATATTTTTAACTGTTTTTAAAGATTAGCCCATGATTTTGAGAATTTGAGAAATATGAACTATAGGAATATTAAAAAATTAAATTATTGCCAGGTGTAGTGGTGCACACCTGTAATTCTAGCAATTAGGGAGGTTGAGAGAGGAGGATTGTAAGTTCAAGGTCAGCTTCAACAACTAAGACATTTGAGTGAGAGGAGGATGAGGAAGGGGGAGGGGAGAAGAAAGAACTGAGGATATGGCTTAGTGGTAAAGCACCCCAGGTTCAATTTCTAGTGCCTCCCCCCACAAAAATTTAAATTGTTTTAGAAATACTAAAAATAGAAAAAAACATAGTATTTTAATGATCAACCTTAAAAAATAAACATATGGAGTTGAACATAAACACTTAGTTCACTTATGTGTTATCCCACTAAATTTAAAAAAAGAAGTTAGTAAATTAAGATAAAATATTTATGCTCTTTTTAAAAATGGTTAATAGTTTTATGCTCTTATTTGCTGTAGGAAAATGCAAAACTTGTTTGCTTTTCCTTAGATCATAAGAAACAATCTCCAAATGTAATCTATTGATTAGATTATTTGGCTCTAGTTATAGCATGATGCAAATACATGAACATAAATGACCAAATGGATACTTTTATTAAATTTATGCAGTGGTTGTACCTAGAGTTATATTTCTCCCTGAGGCTCTACATAAGGGCATATTGGTATTAGAAGAGTGTTTCCAAAGAAGATCAGCACATATTTTATTCACTATGATGACATCTAAAAAATAGATATCTATTGGTGATAGAATTTTCATATTCTTCTAGTGTTGGGTTTCCATGGCCTCTTACCAATTGGCATGATTCATTCACATCTTTAGGGAAATAAAAGATAATAGCTAAACCAAGGGCTGAGTGTTCAATTTGAGTTGTGAGAAAGTTTCAGTAATCAGCCTATGTCAAAGAAAAAAGATAATTCTACATTTCTTTCATTTTTATTAGCATGTCAAGAAACAACATACTTGACCATAGATGTGTACCCTAATTGAGATTGGAGAAAACTCAAGCTTTAAAGGAAGTCCATGACACTTGGGAAACTGAACAACATCACTCTCTCCAGTCCTCTGAGGGTGGGCCTGCAGTTGAGTACCTACCTTTGTGCTAAGTCCATTATGGTATAGGTGACTGTCCGTGCATGTAGGCAGAGTGAGGTGAACATGTTAATGGGTGTAAGGTGATGCTCCTGGTTCCCTTAACTTGTGAACTGTATAGGGGAACCTAGGAGATTCTTCAGTCTAATAATAAGATATAGGATTGCCCAAAGGGCTGCTGGGAAAACAAAAAGGTCACACAGCACAGGTACTTCATGAATAGAAGAAAATGACCAAGAACACAGCTTTAGTGTCTGGAAAATGTACAGTGTTCCAAGCAGGTGAAACATGATCTATAAAAACCCAGCGGACTCTGGTCCATGTCCAAAATAGGTCAACACCCTAGGGTAAAACTAGGAAGGACTAGAATTCTCTTTCTCCATCACAACAAAATGACTTATGCCTCCCTGTATAGGAGGAACATGTGGAAGAAAAGGAACTTGAGAAGACTGGACATTTGTTCCAAGAGACCATTTAAATTAGAATTGTAGCTTAACAACTGATTTAAAAACTAGACTGGCAGACAAAATTAGTATCAGCTGTTCCCCATCTTACTGGCTCATCACTCAACAGCGTGCAAACTTTTGGAAATAATCAGAGAGCAAATAAAGATACTACCCTTTTTTGTACTTGCAGGAGGTAAACCTGTACTCATGAAATACAACATATTTATCATATGTGTCAGATAAGAAAGGAATTCTAGGAAAGCTTTTACTATAGCCTGGATTTTTCAGAGAGCCTTCTTTTGTTCTGTCATCGTTAAAAACTGAAAGACTTTGTAGGTGGTTGAAGTGACACACTCAAATGTAGGACAATTGCCTTGATTTTTTTTTTATATTTAGTTTTTAGTTGTAGGTGGACACCCAATATCTATTTCATTTTTATGTGGTGCTAAGGATTGATACCAGTGCCTCATGCATGCTGGGCAGCACTATACCACTGAGCCACAACCCCAGCCTCCCCCCTACCCCTCCAATCCCCCTGCCCCCCCATTGCCTCAATTAAAAAAAAAATAAAGTTTACTGGGCTGGCATTGTAGCTCAGTGATATAGAGAACTTGCCCAGCATGCACAAAAGCCCAGGATCTGATCCCCAGCACCACTTTAAAAAATAAAATAAAAGCAGTCCACTAAAATGATTTTTTTTTAAAGGTAGTACAAGGTGTGGTAACTTGTCTTTTACCTTAGAGGGAATATCTCAACATGCATGAAACCATTGAACTTCCTGGAACTGCACTGAAGTGCTGGGCTCCTAAAGTTTTGCACAATTTATCCTTTACCATTTGGCCCACAAGAGTCTTACTAAAGCATCTAAAGTACTTTCTAATATATTCTTAGTAGATATAATCAGCGCAATGCTATGAAAGTCATGATAAGTATAATGTTTTGAGGGATGTTAGAATGATCAAATTCTTTAAAAATCTAAATTAAATTTATTTTAACTAATACATTAAAAACACAAAATTATACATATTAATGGGGTACCTGTGATGTTAAAATGACCAGGTTCCTAATGGGCTATCTTATAACAGAAAGTTGGAGAATTGGCACATATTTAAGGTAATGGAGGCATATTGCTGGCCCTGCTAGGCAAAAGCAAACCTCTCTTGTAGTCCTTTCAAACTGTATTGTTCTGTAGTTTACTGTTTACATTCTGCCTCGCCCGAGAAGCTGTAAGTTGCTCAAAGATAGATATTATGTTTTATTTATTTTTATTTCCATAATCTACATGTCTAGACCTACATAGAAGGGGCACTACAAGTGGTGGTAAAATGAATGATAAGTAACTCATACCACAAATGAGAAAAAAAAATGAATTAAGGCACAAGCCAGTCAATTTGGGGCACAGGTGAAGAGTGAGAAAAGATTCATAGATGGGCTTCAAGCAGTCTTTGTACCTTCTGAGTATAATGTAATAATGTAAATGTGTGTGTGTGTTCATGCACGTGTATATACACACGTGGGTACACACTGTGGCAGAACTCCTCTTTCTCTGATGATAGAGCCTAGTTTGGGAATCTTTAGATATATTTGGTTCCTAGGGAAGGCAGATCGTTACCATAACCCCAAAGATTTATGATTGGCCCAAATCAATTCAAGTCCATCCTATTCAGCAAATGAGCAAATGGTAGACAGGGAGTGTGACCCACATTGATTGCATCTCAGTCTGTTCTGGATCATAAGGGGAGGTAAACACAACTGTCCTCTAATTATAAAGACAGAACCTTGTGAAGATATGTTCTTTCACGCCTTTCATCCTCTATTGAGCATCTTTGTGTTATGACAACATGTTTGGAGCTTTGGAAGTTACAAGACATCCCACACCTTGAGCATGGCAGAACAGGAGCCTGGGTTCTGGATAAAAATATCACTGGACCCAACAGGAAACCTACCTCCAGAACATTTTCATATGAGACTACATTTCTTTATTCTTTTGCTCAATCACAAGATGGATATTTTCTTTCTTACATGAAAAATATTTTTTAATGGATTTTTTTTTGGGAAAAAGACATAATACTTTCTTAATCAGAGTCTTAAGAGACTGTGACATATAAACTACTAAACACCATTAATATAAATGAAATGAAATCCCAACTTGGACTAGGGGTTTTTCTCAGTGGTTTAGCACTTTCCCAGAATGTGTGAGGTCCTGAGTTTGATTCTTAGAACCACAAACACCAAAACCCTAAAAAAATTTAAAAAAAAAAAGACACTTACCTTGCCAAAAGAGTAACATTTTTCACTGATGCTAATCCATAGAGCAGTTTTTCTTTTTCTTGAGCTAATGAAGTTTTCTGGTATTGCTCTAGAGTATAGTTCCATGAAGCTTCATTTCCAGAGTTCTGCATTCCATACCGATAACCCAAAAGCCGGAGATTGACAGGAATGCTAGACAAGGAAGGAAGGTTTCAGAGATGTCAGTGGCTCATTTCTCAGTTTAAAGTCTTCTAGAAATAAAAACAAGGTGAATAGTCACCTCTTGCCTGTCTTTATCCAGTCCTCAAATAACTGGGAAGCATTCTTCAAGGCCTCTGGGTCTCCCATCTTGCAGGCAAACCCTAACACAGAGGCACGGAGTAACCTTAGAAAACAGGCAAACACAAAGCCAGGGTTTAAGCACTTCTCAACATGCCTTAAAACACACAAATAAATACTAAATGAAGATTAATTTTTAAAAGGTGAAAAATTACTTTGTAAGGTGGTCGCCAGTATCATTCCATCCCAGAGAATCTGCAATGAGCTTCACTTGATCTTGGAAGTATTTCTGAAATAAAAACATCAGGTTATTACCATGAGTAATAATTTGCTACCTATCAACAGTCTCCCATTTATTGTAATCTGCAGTCCCCTGTTGTAAGAATTTTCCTATTATTTTTGAAAACTCTGGGCCTGACTTTAAGAAAGGAATGTGTTCAGTTTTTTTTTTTTTATCATGTTACAATTTTGCTTCAATCATAGGGACATAAATCACCTTGGATATCTTTCTCTAATGTTTTACAAAACTTTGGGTAAGCCCCCCCTTTTTTTTTTTTGACGAGGAATTGAACCCAGAGGTGCTTAACCACTGAGCAACATCTCCAGTGCTTTTTATTTTTTGTTTTAAGACAGGTTCTTGCTAAGTTGCTTAAGGCCTCACTAAATTGCTTAGGTCAGCCTTGAACTTGTGACCCTTTTGCCTTAGCCTCCCAAGTTACTATGATTACAGGTGTGTGCCACTATGCCCAGGTGTTTTTTGTTTGTTTGTTTGTTTGGTACTGGAAATTTAACCCAGGGATCATTTACAATTGAGCTACTTCTCCAGCTCTTTTTTATTTATTTTTTTTTATTTTGAGACAGAATCTTGCTAAGTTGCCCAGATGACCTCAAACTTGTGATCCTCCTGCCTCAGACTCCCAAGTTGCTAGTATTACAGGTATGCACTACTACACCTTGCTGGGTAATTCCTTTTTAATCTCCATTTCTTAGTTAATATATGAAATAAGTAGAAAACACCTGACACAGTTCTAGCATTAAGAAAGTTGTTCAAGTATTGATGAAATAATAAAAATAACTAATATTTAGGATTTACAGAGAACTTTCATATAATTTGATCCTCACAAAGGCAGATGAGTGTTGATGTTCCCATTGTTCAAAAGGAAGCTAAGATTTACAAATATTAAATTAATTGCCCAACGTCTTTCATTTAATAAGTGAAAGAGCTAGAAATTCAAATCCAGATTTTGTTTAAAATTACAAGTGAACTACCAAAGTGCCACAGACGTAACAAAGCAATTTGGAATAACTATTTTACAACAAAATCCTGATGTGGAAATAACAGCCTCAAGAATAAGGAAATATTATATATGGGGAAGAATATTCATTTTAACAGAGATAAATCCATTTAAGGTAAGATCCAGTTAGTATTTAGAATTTAAAATATTATAAATTTTAAATAAAATATTTATTACTGTATTTCTTCTAATACTCAAATATATACCTTATGCAATATACAAAACTACACATACTGATATGCTTCAAATTGAAAAAGAATAGATAGCATCTCCTTAAGATTGCACTTTGTTTTCACTTGTGAGGTAGTGATGATATGTCCCCTAGGAGCTTCTTCCCTCAGAAACCATCCTATTTTACTAATGACTAAACGTTTATATTTTTATTATAGCAGCAACATCACCTCTATCAAGGGGTATAGCTCTTTATCATCTTCAAACATGCTAATGATGTAAGTTACAGCTGAAATGGCTCTCTGCCATGGTAAAAAGTTCTCTTCCATTTTGAGATACCGGGTCAAGTTCAGAGCCACATCATAACCCAGCAGTTGAGCTCTTAAAAAAAAAAAAAAACAACAACAACAAAATATGCACACATACATAACTAATTAGAAAACAGATTTTAGTTTACATTTGGCTAAAAGTACCAACATATGGGGGATCCCCAGTACTCCATGTTAATGAGAATTCTTTTATTAATCAATTAAGAAATTGCACTTACTATTGAGGACCAATTCAAAGGTTTTTGTTCAAAATGATATGAGTGCCATAATAGAATGAAGAAAACATAACATTAAGATGTACATTTTTAAAAAGTTACTATGGCAAAAATTCAGATGAAACCAAAGCCATTTTGATATGTGGTTAATAATGATGAATAAAAGCTTTTAAATTTTAAGTTCACAAACTGATTAGAATACATAAAGACTTCATTATAAGTGTATTTTATTGAAATCATTTACATTTAATATGAAGAAGAAACATGAAGGGCAGTACGAATCATGGATGCTTTAAACAAAGCATTAAAACTGAGCTTATATTTCCAGTTGTAACATCTATTTTCTTATACATTTCCCAGTAATCTTCATAAATAAAAATGGACTTTTCTCTTCCAAAAAATTTGAAGGTACTATTGACATTTCAAAGTTTAAAGAATCTAACTTCTCCTCTCCTCTAAGACATCTTAGAACCTTTTGAAATCAATATTCTCAGGACTTGTTACACCTTTTAATTGTAGCCTAGATTTCCAAAAGAACGTTAGATGGAAATTCTGTCTTTCCAAATCACATTTTGAAAGTTTAAATTAAAGATTGATTTTTAAAAAATTATTGAATTTAGGATATTGACGCATTGAGTGCTATTATGTTTGAGATCATTTTAAAAATAAACAATAATGTAATTATGTATTGATTCCTCCCTTAAAAGTTTGCTTAGAAAATGTATGAGTATTGGAAAGATAGGAATATAGTTTTTTTTCAGTTCGAAGATCTGATTCTTCTTCATATTTTCTCAATTCCTGCTCTGATCTAGAAGGATTTCTATTCAAGATCATTCAGTCTCCCTTAACAAAAGCATAAAGAATTTTGAGAAATGGAGTAGCTTATTATAAAGAATGTTTATTAACTAAAAAAATTATAGAATTTTGTGTTGACATTTATGACTTAATTGAAAGTTTTCTAATGTTAGTGATTCTATACTTTCTCAACTGGATAGAGCAACATCTAGGCCTATCAATCTTTTCTTGGGAAACTTCTAAAGAATAGTTGTCACTCTGAGGATGAAATTAGTGAAGTGGTTAAGAAAAAAATTAGGAAGAATAATAGACTCTGGTCAGAAACCAAGTGGGACACACATTTCTAGAAAGTGAAAAGATTCAGAGGAATGGGTCTTGGTTACAAAAGCCAAGAGAATTGTCTAACTGGGCAGAAGGAGGAAAACCAAGGATCTAAAGGTCCTGACTAAATATGATATATTCAAGTTCTTTGAAAAATTAATATCCTAGTCTATTATTTTTATCCAAGTACACTTGATATGCAGTGGTTCTACTTTGGTATTGCTAATTTTCTTGATGTCTGAGTCACAGACCCAGAACACTGGACAGGGAGTGAATTGTTGCTGGTGATAATAAATACATGGATAATACTTAAAGAATTAAAGTATTCATGGAAGGCTATGATTGTGACTCAGTGGTACAGCGCTTGCCTAGCACATGTAAGGTACTGGGTTTGATCCTCAGCACCACATAAAAATAAATAAATAAAATAAAGGTATTGTGTTCATCTGCAATTAAATATATATACATACATTTATATGTATGTATATATATTTAAAAGTATTTATTGAAGTTAAGCTTTGCCAGATTCCACTAGGAAACTTTGAATAGTAGGGGAGTGAGTCCAGCTTAAGGGAAGTCCAGCTGGTTGGTCTTTTGTATTTCTGAATTGACAACCAACTTTTCATTTTCCTCAAAGCACCTAACTTTGAAGTTTCCATTTACTGAATCAGAAGAGCAGTATCATTTAGAGCCAGAATTCTCAAATTTAGCAACACCTGGAAGGCTTATTAAATACATAACTGTTTGGCCCCACTCCCAGAGTTTCTGATTCAGTAGTTTTTGGGTAGGGCCCAAGAATTTGCATTTCTCCTAAGTTCCCAGACAATGCTGATATGGCTGATTGGGAACAAGTGTTAAGAAGTTGTTGTTTTTTATTTTAATTAGTGCATTATAATTATACATAATTGTGGGATTCATTATGCCATATTTGTACATATACAAAATTTGACCAATCTCATTCCACAGTGCTTTCCCTTTCCCTCCTCTCCTCCCTCCCCCAATCTGCTTGCTCTACTCTAAAAATGGTTTTTAAGACAAAGACAGGCATGGTGGAGCATGCCTGTAATCCCAGCTGCCCTGGAGGCTGAGGCAGGAGGATCTCGAGTTCAAAGCCAGTCTGAACAATTTAGGGAGGTCCTAAGCAATTTAGCAAGACCCCGTCTCAAAATAAAAAATAAAAAGGGCTGGAGATGTGGCTTAGTGGTTAAGCACCCCTGGGTTCGATCCCTGATACCAAAAAAGAAAGAAAGAAAGAAAGACAAACACATTCGGAGGGCCTGCGCCAGATTCCTTCATGGTGCTCTGTGGGTTCCTGGCTCTCCCTTCTCCAGAAAATAGCCCTTGGCCAAACACGTCCATCTTGCCAAAGAAATTGTGCAACAGCCACCCGTTCCCAAGGGTTGTCAATTCAGAAATACAAAAGGTCAACCAGCTTCCCTGGTTGAACTTGCTCTTCTACATTTCATAGCTTCCTGCTAGAATCTGGCAAAGCCAGACTTCAGATGAGAGTACATCTTGGGCACCATTTTCCTCCTACCCTTTTCCTGCCCTCCTACCCCAAATCTCATGATTTGTAAAAGAACCTCCACTTCAGTTTCTCCTTCTATGGAACTCAACACCAAAAAACATTCTTACTCAATGTTGGGTTTCAAACCACATTTGTTAAGTCCATAAAAAAAAACTAGATTTGAAGGCCAGGCTTGGTTGAGAATTTTCTTTCTATTCCCTCTTCCCCCTTACTTCCTTCCCTCCTATATTCTTTCCTTCCTTCCTCCCCTCCTTTCTCCTTCCTTTCTTTCAGGATTGAACTTAGGGGCATTCTACCACTGAGCTACATCCCCAGCCCTTTTGGTTTTTTATTTTGAGATAGGATCTCACTAATTTGCTGAGGCTAGCCTGGAATTTTTGATCCTCCTACATTAGCTTCCAAAATTGCTGGGATTACAGGTGGGTACCACTGTGCCTAGCCTGATTATTAAACATAAAGTTAATTTTTTTAAATCCTCAATAGACCTGTGTAAATTCCAATCCTTCCACAGGTACTTATCTGCTTAATTGCACATTTCTTCCCTCCTAAAGTTTCCGAGTGGGGAGGACACAGCTGTCACCAGCCTTGGTGGCGTCTGCTCCTCTCTTAATCCAGTTCTCTTCATATGTTGTAGAGGAAACCGAGCCAGGTGTTAACTCAGGTATTTCCAGCTCTGCGGTGTGATTCTACATATGGTTTGCTTTTTAAATTTGTTTTACTTTCTTCCGTCCCATATTTCTTAAAAATTTTATGAGGTCATGGCTAAGGAGCTGAGAAATGCAAAAAAGGTCTTTTCTATAGTTTGAGCTATTTGTTTTATATCCAGTTCCTGAGAGAAGTATTCAAGAGCTGTTCCCTTCATCTCAGAACAAAAAGAGCCATTTGCATTGTGTTGTGATGGGAATTAAATGATAAAGATACTACAATTCATTGTAATTTTAACAGAGGCTAAGTTTTGGAAGAGGTCATGGTACACAGTGCATCTGAAGAATTTTCCAGAAAAAGAAATTCTGAATAATTATGTTATGTTTAAAAATCCTTATAAGTCATCTTCTTTTACTACTTAGTCTCCCAGGGTGTACACAGTGCTTTATACCTAGTAGGTACTCAATACATATCCATTAAATGAGCAAATCGCATATTGTATTGAAATGAAAAAATTAATCTATTACATATCTGGCAGATTAAACTTGAGAATTCACTAAAGAGCATCATATTCTACACCACCTATAAAGTCTACAAATTCAGAATCACTTTTCTAAATGTATCTTATCTTTGCTGCTAATAATCAATAGTTTATGCATTTTGGTCAAGTAATACAATTTACTGAGCACTTTTTCCAGAAAAGTCATATGGTGGGTGATTTATGTCTATCTCATTTATTCCTCACAATAGCCTTATAAGTTCATTTCCATTTTACTAATAAGGAAATTGAACCAGAGAGAAGTTAGAAGACTTAAGTTTACATGAAATCAGGATTTTAATCAAGTTCAAAAGCCTGCTTTTTAACCTATTATTTCTTCCATGAAAAATGCCAAGGTTTTCTGACTTCTAATATGCTGTCCAGGAAGTCCATGTAAAAAATACTTCTCCTCTGCCTTTTGCTGCTGTTATAGATCCTGCCAGCCATCTATACCAGCCATCCCTGTAGGCAATATTTATTGAGCATCAACTTTAACATCCACAAGCAGCCATGAGCTGGGTTTGGGTGCCTACCCTCATGAAACTTTTAATTTCATGGGTGAAATGGACAACTAATAAATCATGTTGATTTAATACTGTGGGAGAAGATGGGACCCAAAAGAGGGACACCCAACCCAGACAAAGGAGCCATGGGAGGCTACATAAGGAAGTCACATCTCATTCTCAATATCTTCCCCATATTTAGAGTGAAGTCACTACAAAGTTAGAGAAATAAATGGGCTGTGTCTCCAACTTCTGCAAAGTATTGGGAACTTAATGAATACTTGTTGAACAACCAACTAGTGTTCAACTATCTGAAAAAAATTTAGAGCTACCATGGTTAAGAATCCTCTCTTCCCTTAATTTGTGTTGATTGCATTTTTCTACATGCAGGTTACCCTCAGATCATGAGAAATAAAAAAGAGAGACAAATTTCTTAAATGGAATCTTAATTCTGATAAATTGTGGCACACCATGGCTCCTTCCCCAATGACCTGAACAAGATTTGACAATTCTAGGCAAGTTTTACAATGAGCTTGGGGTCATGAAACCAAATTAATAAAACACATTGGTTACCTTTTTATTAAATCAAATTGTGAAGGTACACTTTTGTGAAGGTACACTTTTGAGCCTTTGCAAATATCACTCCTAATTAACCCAAGGCCTCTGATCCAGAACAACCCATACTCAAAGTCAATAGGGTGTGTGAGTTTTTGTGTTTAAGTGATGGGCTAATATCAGCAGTTTGGTTATGAGGAACACATAAACTTTTTTAAAAAGAGGGCCAATAAAAACAATGATGTTTAAAATATTGGCTTGACTATTTTAAACTAAAATTGATTAATACTTAAATGTTGTAATTCATTTAAGCAAATATTTATGGGAAAACCCACAATATCTTAAATGATCCGATCTCATTATAAAACCTACCTGGCCAAGGCAAAAGCATCATCAATGAAACTTGCACGGTCAGCAGAAGAAAATTGCTGGGAAAAATGAAAAAAAAAAAAAAGAAGTAAAAAAAGAAACATAGTTAAATGAAAATGTGTTGAGAAAAATTAATATCATTCATTAAAATGCTATTCTTAGAATAAAAATAAAACAATTCATAACCATTGCTGTCTCTTACCAAGTGGTTTGAGAGAAGATTCCCAGCGATCTGGTCCCAAGTTAGTTTTTCATAATTTACACGATAAAACCCAATATGATCTGGATTTATTTTGAGAAAAGTATTTCCACTAGAATCATAAGGGTTCAAAGTGATTCCTGTGGTAGTAAATAAACACTAATGAGAAACATGTTTGCATATACTGTAAACACAGAGAAATTAGACCCAGAGGGCAGAAAGAAAAGAAAAGAAAAGAAATATTAGCTCAAGGAGTCAAGTTTTGATTTGGATCCAAAGCCCCAAAGCCTAATTCTTATTTAGTTGCCTAACTTTAGAAATGTCACTGGGGTGAAGAAGCTGAAAAAGAAATAAGTAGTGTCAATAAGTTCCTGTCGTTTGTGACTTACATTTCTTACTGGCAGAAGCTTGCCAAATGAATGAAATAATTCTATGCTGGCCAATCCTTTAATAAAATAAAACAACGCCTAAAGACAGAGAAGCCTATGCCTTCTGGGATAGTCCATATATTCCAAATCACAATGGATTCATTACATGAAAAGTGTTTATTGTGGCTGCCTGGGGAGAGGATAAAAATGTAAACATTTGAAACCAACCATTGAAACTGGTGAAAATGGCTATTGCTAAGAATAATGATTTGAGAATCAGTGGTCCTCCTTTTTATTTTTTTATCCTTTCTTTGCAGTGCTGGGCATTGAAACCAAGGCCTATGTTCTCTGGGCAAGTGCTCTACCACTGAACTACATCCCCAGCCCTGGTAAAGCTTTTAAAGTGTCAAGAAGACCTGCAAATGAATTAGAATCCAAATGGAACATTCTTGATTTTTTAATACTTGTCATAATTTTTCTTTCAATTTTGTTTATCTTGGTAAGATCTTTTACCTCCTTATTTTGATTATAACAACATTTTTTCATCAATGGATTCATCAAATTAACTTTCTAAAGTTACATCCAATATTTACAGAGGGTCCTAGTATAAGGATTTTAGAAGCCCAATACTAAAGGAATAGAGACTTATGTTTTAAATTAAGCATATACACTTAAAATCATAGCTATGTTCTGACATGACCAATATTTGTTAGCATAACTTTCTAATTCCTATGCTTTTTGTTTGCATGGACAATATCCAATTTAAATAATGATGTGAGGATTCTTAGTATATTTGAGGAATTTCAACTAGTTGAGTGTAATGACAATGGAGAAAATACTGGAAAACAGAAGATGAAGCTTGCAATGAAGATCATGCATCGAGAATTCACCTTCTGAGAGGTGGGAAGATAAGGAAGGTTTTTAAGCAGGAAAATAATATGCTCAAGTCTGTTTTCTAGAAAGGTCATTTTATGGGAGATATTTTGGAGGACCTTCTAGAGAAAAGAAGACTCATTTAGAATCCATTGTTATAATGAAGGGCAAGAAAGGATAAGGCAGAGATGATGAAAACAGGAGGTGATTACAGGTAAGACCAACACCATCCTTCTTCTGACCTGATGTGGACAGTTGGAGGAAGGGAAAAGGGCTTGCATGATTGGATGAATAATGGTGTTGCCATTAGAGAACAGAGGAAGGTAAGTCAGTTTGGGAGGAAAGATGATTTAACTCTTGGAAGTGTTTGCAAGGTCTGGAAGATATCCAGGACACAGTAGTTTTTCATAATATATGAGCAAGCTCTTCAACAAGACAATACGTTTCTTTAGGAATTTTCAGAGTAGGTACTTGACAAATTATAAACCCTTACCTCACTCATGTAGTATTAATCTTTCTTTGTCATTCTCCCATGGACAAGTTGTTGAAAGGAAGCTAATCTTTTGGCAACCTTATACTTTGAATGTTTGTATCAGGAGGAGAGTCTCTTGCTAAGCAGAAAGCCATATGTTACAGAAGAAAGAATATGAACTTTGGAGTCTGAAAGACTTAGGATGAAGTCTTTTCTCTGTGGCTTAGTAGCCCTGTCACCTTGGCCAGATCACTGGACTCCTGTGTCCCCATTCAATAGGAGTAAAACAGGGATAAAAATCCCCCAGGCCTGTTGCAAAGATTAAATAAGATAACATAGGTAAAGCGTTGGTCACATAGTTATGTGTCCAACAGATGGTAGCTATCTCCATTATTATGAAAGGGGATAGGCTGCCAGTTCTATAAATAGCAAAGCAAATATAAATAACATTGAGAAGTTCCTGGCAATCCATCTAAATACTGCAGTATTTTAGTGTGCTTTATATGTCTCCAGTTAAGCCTGTCTAGAGTCACTGTGATTTTTCTCACTTTATAGATGAGGAAGCTGAGATCCAGGAAGTTAGTAGTTAAGGACTTTCCAAGTTCATGCTACTTTCAGAACAGTTGTCAGCAGCAAAATACTGTCTGGCGGTTTAGTTACATAATGAAGTAAGTAGGACTAAAATATTGAGCCTATTCCTGGTGACACAGAGAAGTACGGGTGTGTTTCTTTTTTTGTTTCTCCATTTACTTTTTATTAGTTTTTTTTCTGACTATTAAGAGCAGTGTTGTTGTTTTTTTATGGAGACTGATAATTACCTTTTCGAAAAGAGCATATACAATCATTCTTTAATGTTACTATTTTTTATAAATAATTATAACAAATTTTAGACAAGAAGACAGCTTGCAATAACCTGAGATTCCTAAAGAATGAAATGTTTTTCTTTATAAAGGCTGTATTGCACTAGTTCTTTGAGCAGATTAAATTTTAGCATGTAATAACAGAGTTTACATCTTTTTAAATTTTGTGCATCACTTACTAGTAAAACGAAAGACTCAAGAGTAGTACTTTTTGACTCATGATACACAAAATAAACTTAAAGAGCTAAAAATTTCAAACAGGAATGCATTGTCCGTTTGCGGGGTCAAGGAAGAACATTTCAATCTCTGAAACTAAAGGTAACATGATCCATTGTCAAATTGGATGATGTTTACAACAAAATGCCCAATCAAGAAAGTATTAATGATTATATTAGCAATAATTATAGGGTCGCTCCCAGATCTCAGCAAATAGTTTATTACAATCTTCCTGGAAAGAAAGGAGTAGTTTTAATATGAAACAAGCAGGAGTCTGAGAAAATGCCAACCTTTCTGTCATGGGGAAGGATTGTCAGTGGTGATGATTCTGGCAACTGGGAAGAAAAATTGCAAAAGAGTCTTAGATAGTGAAGATCTGCCAGAGTCTCCAGTCTGCCCAGGGAAGGGGCCCAACTGAGATGGCACAGGTGTTCCAGGCTTGTTGACAGTTCTGGTCCTACAGAGAACAGTGTATGTGGCAGGGACTTGTTAGTGGCTCACCACACTGTTCCCTTTTCCTCCTGGGTATAGAGCTAAATTGTACATCTTAGCCTTCTTGCAGTTAGGTAGCAGCACACATTGAGAACTGGCTATAATATGTGGGCAAAAGCAATAGATGCACTTCTAGACCTAGTCTCTCAATTAACTTCCTCTGTTTCTGCCCACATACAAAAGATCTAGCAAGGAATTCTAACATCCAAGAGGGGATGGAATCAGAAGAAGGAAGAAAACAGGATTGTTATTTGATGGAGAGCCACCTAAGAGAGATGGCAAGTCAGAAATACCTTCTTTGAACTCTTGCACAAACAAGAAACTTTATTGCATCAGGCTACTATTGATAGTTTCTAAGTAAAATAATTACGGTCACCTGGAGGATGCAATATATCAGGCTATCACAGTTTGATGACATCTTAAAATAACTGATTTACCTTAACTCTGCCCTAATCCTTACTAAGTAAACTTTTCCCCTGGGAAGAGACACCAATTAGCTGACATGAGTATGCTGGTTTACTAGGCCAGGATATTTTATCTGTGGGTAAATTAACAAATTAGCATTCTTGGTTAATCTCTTGTATGTTTGGTTTGGGTGAATAAATCTTCCAAGACTTGGTTGACCAGGGCTGAAAAAACAAACTGAGTTTCCAAACCACCAAAATGGTGTCCATAATTATCCAAAGTTTGCACATTCCATGAGGCTCAGGCTGAAAAAATGAAGACCTTTGCTTTTTGTCATTGTATATAAAATTACACGCTCACCATTATTTTGGTAATAAATATTTAAATATAGCCATTATTAATTTTTAGTAAACCCTGTTTTTATGATAGTCAGAACGGTTATTAAAGTATCCAGTGATAGTTGAATCTGGAAGTTAGAGCTATAAAGCCTGTCTATATCTCTCCTATGCCTCAGATCTTATGTATTTATGGATGACTATTTAAAAATATTATGTTTTAGCAAGGTGATTACCCAAGATCACACTAAATATTATAAAGAGGCAAATTAGAAGTAAAAAGGTCCACGTAACACTAAAGGTAGAAGCATCGACAATAGCCAAAATAGTATCTGATACTAAAGAAAGAGAGGTTACAAAAACATACACAGGTGACAGTCCATTAAGCGAGGACTCACCAAACTCTCAGGATGTGCCTAGCACTAGTAATAAGAGTGAACAGGGGACAAGAAACGAGGTGCAGTTTGTGTCTTCGGAAAGCTTAAAGGTTAATTGAAAAAGAAGAAAGAGAGCATAGGAAGCTTAAATGACAATGATTTTGTTGGAAACATAAAGGAACAATGACAAATGAAACGGCAGCATAAAATATCCTACAGAGAAAGTCCTGAGAAGGACTATGTTTATAATAAAATCCCAACGAGAAAATAACATCATTGAGGATAAAGAAACATATATTTTGGTAAGAATAAATTCATTTTAACAGAGATAAATTTATTTAAAAGAGGATCTAGTTAGTAACTATAGCTTAAAAGGAAAGGTTTTCAGGGCACCTTGGAATAGCCTGAACTGGTTTGTGATAGAAGTCCTCGTTCATTCATCTTTGGTTAGAGAGTACATGTTTAATTTTTTTCTAATGCTTAAAATATGAATATAAATAAAAAAGATCTGGGGTGGGAAGGGGGGAAGTCCCACTATTGCCTGGGGAGTTTCTAACTGATGAGTCATCAAAGAAACCAAGAGGAGGGCAGCAGGATTGGTAACCTGAGCTGGTTACCCATTCAGTACACTCAGGACATGTTCGTCATCTGTGCTCCGAGCGGAGAGCTGAAGATGTTCTCAAACAGGAAACAGGAACTTATTGCATAGCCTAAAAATGGAGCAGGCACTTTGAAGTAGGAAGAGAGGTCTAGTTTGTTTCTGGCTAAGTGGCCAGGAACAGTAACAACAGCAACGGATAAGGGATAAGTTTCTTTTCCTCAAGGAATACTCCGTGGGAGGAGATAGAGGGGTAGTTCATTGGTTTGTGAAGTCTCAGTTTTTTTTGGACTATACTTCAAGGGTAGAAAGGGGTGTGAGAGCTCCCTTTCTCTTTTCTATGCTAACACTCCCTGTTCAGAGTACAGGGACCCCCAAGACTCCATCAATCCTGTTACCCATTTATACTCTATCAGTAGCCCCTGAACTCTTGGCCTAGAAATCCTTTTCTTTAGTAATCTTCCCTGATCCCCCACATCTGGGCTGGTGCTTGTCCTGTGTGTTCCCTTCACTATTTTCAGTTACCACACCAGCCACTTAGGACAGTATTGTATCTACCTGCTGACCTAGCCCTGGACAACTGTCACACAAGGGTAAGGGGTCATGCTTCTCCCCTACTCTCACATTATCTCCAGGCCTACCCCTGTATCTGGCATGTAAGTTAGCTTTAATAAATACTGGCTTGAAAGAAATAACTGATTAATTAAGGGATCAAATTCAACATTCCAAATCTATCTAATGAGTACACAATAAATATTAGAAGGTTGTTTATTCTGATCTCTTAAAATTTACTTATGAAGTATTAGAGTGAGCATTAGTTATCTTGAAAATTCACTGCTATGGGATCCTAAGTCCATGAAAATGCTGGGTAAACTGTAAGGATAGATGAATTATTCATGCTTTTAAATTTGTAAACAGCAAATGAAGCTGCTTCCAGGACATTCTTCCAACCTTCATTAAACATGGTGACCACTGGGGGGAAAATGTGGTAAAAAGTTAAACCTCCCAATGAAATCCTAACCTTCTCTTATGTCTTTTACCAGGGCTGTTACATATTCTTTAGTGTGTTCTTTCTGTCTTTTCCATTTTCCTTTGGCAAATGTGCTTACGAATCTGAAAATGGTCGGAAGACAGACCACAAGAGATACAGCTTAGTATTCAGTCACAACCTAAATGAATACAAATACTGAGACAGAATGGTATTGATCTGGAAATTCAGAATGTTGACCACAATGCTATAATAATTGTTACCATAAATGATAAAGGGAAAGTTTCATTGTGATAGCAATTCCTGTCAAGAAGAGCCTAAAGAAGAGTCTTACTTCCATAATAGCAAAACTGGTAGAGTTTATAGTAAATCTAAAAATCACAAAAGATTTTATAATACAAGTTTTATTTAAAAAAAAAAGTGGGAAAAAACCTAGGGAAGTTTCAGAGAAACTTATACATAAATGATTATAGCAGCACTACTGACAAGAGATGAAGGTACAAATGATTCAAATATCTGTCAGTTGATAAATGTATAAAGAAAGGTCACATATCCATATAATGGAATATAATTTGGCAATAAAAATGAATGAAATTCTGATACATGCAACAACTAGGAAGAACCATGGAAGCATTAAGCTAAATGAAAAAAAGATTAAAAATGCTATTTATATATAAATTATATAGTTATATATATGTAATTTCATTTACATTAAATGTACAGAAGAGGTAAATCTATAGATGTAGAAAGTTGATTAGTGTTCAATTTGGGCTGAGGCATGGAAGGATGGAGAGATGATAGATAAAGGTAAGGGTTTCTTTCTGAGGTAATAAAAATGCTCTAAATTGCCTGTGCTGATGTGACTGTGAATATACAAAAAAAAAAAAATGGATTTTACTCTTTAAATGGATGAACTGTGGAGTGGGATGGAGCTTAGTGATAGAGTGTGTGCTGTGCATGTGTATGGTTATGAGTTCAATCTCCAACACTGTAAAATAAGAAAATAATGGGTAAATTTAAAGGTATGCAACTTATATCTCAATAAAGCTGATTTTTAAAAAATCAGCTGGAAACAGAATAAAATTTACTTGCCAGATGAACTCAGACATAATTAACATTTTAGGATGTTTATAGGCAAATGCAGCTTTTTCACTGCTGTGACTAAAGGATCTGACCAGAGCAATTTTAAAGGAGGAAAATTTATTTGAGGGCTCATGGTTTCAGAGGTCTTAGTCCACAGAAGGCCAATTCTATTCCTGGGGACTCTAAATGAGGCCCAACATCATGGCGGAAGAGAATAGTAGAGGGAAGCAGCTGACATGACAAACAGAAAATAGAGAGACTCCACTCTCCAGATACAAATATATACCCCAAAGCCACGCCCTGATTCCCACCTCCTCCAGCCACACCCTACCACTTCAGTTACCACTCAGTTAATCCTACTCAGGGGGATTAAGTCACTGATTGGGTTGAGACTTCAACTCAATCATTTCTCCTCTGAACCTTCCTGCGTTGTTTCACATGTGAGCATTTGGGGAACAACTTATATCCAAACCATAACCACAGACAAGTGATCTGCTTGGCCTTAAGTAGCCACGGGTGAAAGTTTATGCCCAATGCTCTCCTGAGACCAAGTCATGATGGAATGGAGACAAGGACACAGTCTAGTTTGTCTTACATAAGAAATGTTTTGAGTTGAGTGCAGTGACACATGCCTGTAAATCCAGAGACTCTGGAGGCTAAGACAGGAGAATCAGACGTTCAAGGCCAGCCTCAGGAATTTAGTGACAGCCCTGTCTCAAAATAATAAATAAAAAGGGTTGGGGATATAGTTTAGTGAAGGGCACTTGCCTAGCATGCAAGAGGCCCAAAGTTCAAACCCCAGGACTGCAAAATAAAAATAAAAGACAAGTTTTGAGACATAAAACAAGTACATTGGTGAAAGTATTAAAAGCGAGGTTCTTCTGGGATTAGTGCTAAAACCTGTCTTATTTATTATTTTTTTTTTGGTGATGTGGAGATCTGTGATAATGTCTCCTTGTTTCTATATAACTTTAGAATTTTTCAAGAAAAAGACGAATCAATGGAGAGAACAAGAGATAAACTTTCAGAAAATGATTGGTCTAATTTAATGAAAACGTTAAAAAAAACCAAAAAAACAAAACACTCAGGCCTGCCACATAGCATTTTAAGAAATTCAATGACTTACTTGTTTGGTAAAAAGATAAAAAAGGAAGAGAGAGAGAGGGAAAGATGAAGAGAAGGAAGCAAACTTATACTTTGATCTCCCAAGGCTGGGTATGTCAATCATGGTAAATGATTAAAAAAAAATCTCAAAGTAGAAAAGTCATTGCAGATAAAGATTTATAATCATCAATAAATTATTTAAGAGGTTTCTTTAAGCTAAAATTTATTTAATTTTCAGCTTATGGGTAACTCTTCACACTTAGTTTAATGTAGAACACCATTTCAAAGAATAAATCAATCAATTGATAATATTTACCTTCTTTTTCTGACCTATTGTAGAAGGCACTGTCTGATGTATCATTTTCAGTAAATTTAATTGGAATATTCCATGTGTAACTAAAATTTTAAAAGAGAAAAATTTAACTTTATTACTAAAAGATAAAAAATCAAAAATAAAAATCAAGACAAACATGTTTTCCTTATATAATCACCCAATGTATAGTATGCAACCAATACAGTTAATAAATCATATTTTAGTAATAAAAATAGGTCAGGTAATTGCTCTCAATTTCTATAAATTTATGAACTGTGGAAATTTGCATCAAAAATTATCCAAAATGAAGATTATTATTCAATGAAGAGCTTTGAGGCTTTGAAATAAAGAAATTGCAGAAAATGCATAAATATAACATATAATATTGAGCATCTGAATACATGCTTATGTACACTTTATATTTGATGGCTTCTGTTAAGGAGAACAAAACATTGTTAAAATTCAAAAGGCAGTCTGTAAAATTCTGTTAAAGAAATACATTTTAGGACTGGGGATGTGGCTCAAGCGGTAGCGCACTCGCCCGGCATGTGTAAGCCCAGGTTCTATCCTCAGCACTACATACAAACAAAGATGTTGTGTCCGCCGAAAACTAAAAAATAAATATTAACTAATTCTCTCTCCCTCTCTCTCCCTCTCTCTCTCTCTCTCTCTCTCTCTCTCTCATAAAAAGAAAAAAAAAGAAATACATTTTAGAAGTTAGATTGAAATTGTACCACCACTATAACCTGCCTCCCTACAGAGTTTCACGCTCTTTTCTAAGTATCTCTTAGCTAGAATCATGAGAATACATGTGCTCTAAAGGGAAAAATTATCAGATGTTTCAGGGGTTTCCAATTGTTTTCCTTAGCTACTTGGTATGCAGAGGTAGCTTGTATTTGGATATAATATATTCCCAATATTTTAGTCTTGAAATATCAAAAAACAGATCATCAGTGCCATTTGATTGTTCTCAATCACAAATGCATCATCTCATGTATCTAGAGAGAATATGAATCTAGGTACCAATAGCTGGTTTGAATTGCTACTCAAAGTTGGTTTCTCTGTCAACATTCAGTTCCTTAACAGAGAATTAGGATTGACATTTCTCCCATTTAGGATATAATAAAATTTGTCATTCAAGAATAGATTTTTGCTATCTATGTGAAAAAGCTAATCCTCTGCTTTATATTATTGAAGTGTTTTAAAGGACTTTTTACTGGGTCCTTTGGAGTATTTTATTGCAGTGGAATTTTTGGCTATAAATTTCATAAAACCAGTACATAAATTATTTCTTGGGTCCTGCTGTGGACACAGTTTGATGCTTATCCCCTAGAAACCCAGATTCCAATGTGCTTTCCCTGGAAGCAACCAAAACCTAAGTCTCTCTGTCAGAGGACTGTCCTCAAACTGCCTGAGCAGGAAAAACAGAAATTCCTGGGAATTTGCATTCTTCTGGATGCCATCCTTAGTTAACAATGACTGATTGGTATGGGTTGAAAGTTGAGAACCTTTCTTACCCCATCCATCGGGAACACTCTGGAACACTCTGAAGTGTTCTGCACAGGTTCCAGAAATTCTCTGCAGGACTGAGCCAGTTACTGTGCACAGGACTGCTTCATACAGCACCTCTGCTGGACTGCCTTCCCTTCCTCTCCCTTCCCTGTCCCATGCCCACTGTGACCATCCTTCCTAGAGACACTTCCTAAGGAGTCACTTTCACTCACATGATCATCTCAGCGTTTGCTTTTAGGGAAGCCATCCTAAAAGCCCTTGCAGCCTCTCAGAAGACAGGCATTGTTAAATAACCACAACCTACATATTTTGCTCTGTCGCTGCTCTGTTAATTTAATGCTGCCATGCAAACTAATATTTCTTCATCTTTTTCTAGTGCCAAACGTAACGGAAATAACAGAGGATGCTGTGTTGGGATGTGCACAATGTGACTTCACATCTTGGCTATCATCCTAAAAAACATGGTCAGTAGGACTACACCATGCCTAAAAGTGGACAGAAGCTATACTACCAAGGTCATGTATAAAAATATTTCCCTGGGCTGGGGTTGTGCTCAGTGGTAATGAGCTCGCCTAGTACATGGGAGGCACTGGGTTTGATCTTCAGCATCACATACAAATAAACAAATAAAATAAAGGTATTGTGTCCAACTACAACTAAAAAATTTTAAAAAAATAAAAAATATTGCCCTGAGGATTTTAAGATCATCCTAAGACAAAAATGAATACAATTTGGTAATTTTTAGTATCACACAATCTAACCTAATCTAAACTGAGTAAAATAAGAGATTTGGGAATACAAAATTTCAAGAAATGAAAATTACATCATCTAAAATTTATGAGTATCAAGATTTGTTTTTTAAGTGTGTGATTAAGGTACCATGAAATGGGCTCTATCAATACTAAAAGTGGCCAATCTAGTTTTCTCCAAGGAAACTGACTTTAATTGCCCCCTGAAAGACACACCTACTCCTTTCTTCTGCCTGTTTACAATGGATGGACTTTCAAGGCAAGAAAACTTGTCAGGGCTGGGGTTGTAGCTCAGGGATAGAACGCTAGCCTGGCATGTGTGAGGTCCTGGGTTCCATCCCTAGCACCGTATAAAACTAAATAAACAAAATAAAGGTATATATAAAAAAAAAGAAAGAAAGAAAACTTGCCCGCTGGAGACGCGGTAAGTGGCCCATTTGTAAGAGAAGGTTGCCGCCATAATGTTAAAGCAAAAGCCTACACGTGGGTGGGTCCTTTGAATTATAAAAGGTTCTATTCAGTGAATACTTTCCTCATTCTGGATTACTTAAACAGTGAGAAGCATACTTAGAAGAGGCCATTCATCTCACAGTACAACTTGACAGATCACCCAACAGGAACACATCTGACCAGAGAGAAGATGAACCTTGGGGTTGGAGATAGGTCCCATTTCTTTCTGGGTACATGATTTGATTTTATTTAAAAAAAAATAAAGTGAAAAAAAAACCAGTATTCTTTCTTATTTCTCAGGAGCTACTGATGATTTTTAACAAATATTCTCAACAGGGAAACACCTATTTTCTAAGTTTTTTTTCCTTTTCATGCATAACATCCCCTTGCTTTTGTTTTACAAAACTAGGACAAGTATATTGATTTTTGATAAATGATCACCAAAAATCATGCTTCTGTGAATCTAAATGAAATAAAAATAGTATCTGAGAGTAGGAATTCAAGACAAATATTAGAGAAAAATGGGTTAAGATAGTTTCATACTCTTAAGTTTCATGAATAAAATTCAAGGATATATTGTAATTTATTGTAAAAAGTGATTTTATTCTTGATATATTTAGCTCACTTGGTAATAATTTTTTTGTTTTGTTTTGTTTTTGTGGAGAGGAATTTATAGCCAAAGAGTAGTTAAAATCCAATCAACACTGGTTGACTGTCTTTGGTTTAACAAGTCAGTGGACACGAGACAGGAGGAAACAATTATTGAGGAACTTTCACAATGGAACTTATTTTGCAAGAGAGAATGTTTTGTTTTTTTCCAGTGCAAGGGATCGAACCCAGGGCCTCACCCATGTTAGGCAAATGCTCTGCCACTGAGTTTCATTTCCAGCCCAACAAGTTTTCTTTCTTTCTTTTTTTCCCCCAAATATCTAAAGACTGTAGAAGTATTTAATACGACTAATCTAATTTACTAGAACATGAAACAGTAACTACAAAAGAAATAGTTCATAGTTTACATAACCATCACAGAAACTGTTCTGTTGACTTTTGTCATTGAATTATCACCTGAAAGTAAGTCAAATCTACATTTCAATCATGTATCATGAAGAGGAAAGAGTGAAAAATAAAGAGGTTTTCTCAATTTTAATCTTTCCCTTTTGAAATAAAAAGTAAAGAAGTGTACACATACACTCCCTGAGCGTCTTCATATTGGTGTAGAGTCTGGTGTTTTCCTTGTGCTGGTGTGAACTATTGATTTTCAGAATTTGTGTTACAGGAAGACACCCAGCTTCTTGGAACCTCGTTGTCTGTGACAGAGCTGAGCTCCTGAGGTTCCCGCTCAGGCTGATAATGGCCTACCAGGTGAGTGCCTCAGGCTTTTCCAGCCAGCACCTTAGAAATAGTTAATTTCATAATTCTGAGTGCTCTCCATTCTCTCATACCTTGGACAGTAAAGTGTTTTGGCAATTTTAATTTTTTTAAATACCCGAGTGTGCTGTTAGTATAACTGAATTCTCAAAGTCCTGAATTAAAAAAAGGAGTTGTTCTCTGCAAATTCATCTGATTAAGTCACTTGCATATTATTTGTTTATTTACTGTAGTACTTGGGATTGAACCCAGGGGCGCTCACCACTGAAGGACACCCTCAGTCCTTTTATTTATTTATTTATTTTTAATTTTGGGACGGGGTCTCTTTTGCACAAGCTGGCCTCAAACTTGTGATCCTCCTGCCTCAGTTGGAAATTATAGGTGTGCACCACTGTATCCGGCTGTTGTTTATTTTTTAATTGAAAATGTTGAACTGAAATCTTTGGAATATCTGCCACAACTTCCAGCCACAGCCACCCTCCTATTCTGGGCCCATCAATCCCAGTTGTCACATGAGTCATTCACTGCAACTTCATCTTACTTGGCCTCTCAGATTCCACTCATGTCCCCAAAGTGTAGCGAGAGAGAAACTCGGAAAAATGCAAATCTTGCCAATTCTCTCCTTAAAATCCTTGAATCTGCACACTGTTGTCCAAAATCTTTCATGTGGCCTCCATACCTGTTCCTGCCTTTCTCCCCACCTTCATCTCCCACCACTATTCCAGTTGTTCTGCCGATAAGTCTCTTGTAGCCAGACTGCCTTCTGTTCAGATCAAGGCTCTATCATTTACTGTGCGTGTGAATAACCTTGAATAAGTTAATCTCTCTCTCTGCCTCACTGTCCTCAACTGTTCTCATCAAACACATCTAAAGTGCTTAAAATAGTGCTGGCTACTTAGTCAAGGCTTAGTAAATGTTACACATTATATGCACAAAACTCCTTTTAAAACCTTTGAGGACTTCCTCCATATTATAGTTTGTTTTGCTCCCTTTGCACCAATTTGCTCACCTTCAATATCTCATCCTGGTAAACAGATGTTTTCTGTGACCCCACCCCTGCCATCTCCATCTCCCATCGCTTTCTCCCAATTAATTCAGGCTCAGCCAATCAGTGGGCATGTATGACAAGAGAGAATAATTACCAAGAAACTTTCCCAAAGAAATCTTGTTTCACAAGAGATAAATATTTTTAAATTCTAATATCAAACAGCTCCAACACTATTGTAAAGTTAGTGAATGTAATTTGCTAGAACATACAATAGTAACTATGAAGGAACTGGTTCATAGTTATTAAACACTTTCCAAAATACTTTCTTCATAGCTTAAGATTCTCATTCTTCATGTTATTCTAATTGCTACTAACTAATTGAGCTCACCAAATGACTTATTCAGGAATTATAAAATAATGCCAATGAAATCATTAAGAAAGAGAGCAGGAGGACGATTCTCTTCAGTGAGAATCAGGCAATGGAGATTGCAGGCCACCTGGGTGAGCATGAGTTCAAATCCTCTTTACCCCAACTAAATATTTCAAAGTTGCAAGAAGGGACAATAAAAATTGTAACTGGATGAAACCAGAACAATGTCTGGGGACCAGTGATAGGCTATGCAGCTCCTGTTCACCTAGTAACCTACCTAGGAGGGACTCAGCATGGTGAGCTGGCCAGGATGATATCCCCAAAATGCTGTATATAGTTTGGGTGTCCTGAGAGTCTGATTTTTACCTTTCAGTTGGAAGGGTGATTGGCACCCCAGAAATATATACAAAATAAGTTATGCAGAAATGCTCATATCATCAAGACTTTGTACAAGTTGAACTTGTGCAAATGGAATGAGTTTTGAGATCACTGGCTATACTGTACATGCTGTATCAACCTTTACAGTCTTTGGAACATTTTTTAAAACCTAGCACATCAGAGAACACAACACATTGGATTTGTAATATTACCTGAACTCAGTATTCATGTTTCAATTGTCTAGAAAAATCTTGCTTGGTAAAGTTGAGGATTTGATTTTTAACATGATGAAAAAATGTCACTCTTATTTGATAGACTGTATTTGTATTTTAAATTGTTAATTTCTAAAAATATATCAAATAATTTCAAAAAAGATTTATAAACCTTTAGGTGTTTGTATTTGGAAATTAGAAAATAATTTAATGAAATTGTAACTGGTAGTGTTTAGAAGAATTTGATTCTAAGTTTTTATAAATGCTATACGCAAAAGAATTTGATTAAGTTCCTAAGTGCTGCATAAATGCTCAAGAGAATTAAATTTATGAAATTTGTACATAAACTCATCATTAATCACAAACTAGGAAACTGTTGAATAACCACAGTTTCCTTCCCATCTTCCCCACCACCACAGGAATGCCCCCCACCCCAAGGACAGCACCTTATTCAGCATCTCCTTTTTTATTTTTATTTTTTAAAATATTTATTCTTTAGTTGTAGGTGGACACAATACCTTTATTTAATTTTTATGTGGTGCTGAGGATCAAACTCAGTGCCCCACCCATGCTAGGCAAGTGCTTTTCCTCTGAGCCACTACCTCAGTCCCTAGCATCTCTACTTTTTTTTTTTTTTTTAAGAGAGAGAGAGACAGAGAGAGAACTTTTTTAATATTTATTTTTTAGTTTTTGGCGGACACAACATCTTTGTTTGTATGTGGTGCTGAGGATCGAGCCTGGGCTGCATGCATGCCAGGTGAGCGCGCTACCGCTTGAGCCACATCCCTAGCCCCAGCATCTCTACTTTTAAGTGCTTCTGGTTTTAGTTCTGCATCCTAACTTTATTTATTTATTTTTGTTTAAACAATATGTATTAACTCATCCACTGGAGGGTGACTTGGTGCACTTATGTTGCTTTCTTTTCTATTTCCCTTTTAAAACTTAACCAAAAAAAAAAAATTAAAATAAAATGATTTTTAATTTTCTATAGGTTACAATGTACCCCTAAATAATATTCTCACTCCACCACTCTTGCTTCATGAAGTTTTTACCACTTTCCTAACTGTTAAGCAAGGACAGTCCCTGGAGGGCTGCTGCTTAACAATCAGCTCTCAGAGGACAAAACAGCATTTGCCCATTTTCACATGATGCTCCCACTATTTCCAGGGTTCAGCTACCAGAACAGCAGCACGGACAACATGACGTCACCAATCTGGGAAGAGACCTGTCACCACTGAGTAAGTACCCCACACTCTCTTCCACTTTTTCTCCCTTTTCCACCTCCTCTTTTCTGTCAGGTATTTTTGTTTTTCTGATTATAATGGTAAGATAGGTTGTATTTCCAATGTATTCTGCCACCATAACAACACCGTTACATGTTATCCATTGGTTGATTATAAAAGTTGAAAGCCAATAAATAACACTTATGAAAAAGGTCAATGCTATAGTCTGGGAGTCCTCATGAAATGGAAACGCTTAGCTCTCCTCCACTGTTTTGGTTTACTTCTTTAGTAAACAGCCCTCTGTACTCTTGCCCCAGGGTCACAACCAGATTTCTTAGAGTTCTGTGTAGAGAAAGGACTGGTAGTGGATGGAGAAAGTGGAAGGGCACAAGTCCTACTTCTAGACGTCATAAAAATTGTCCTACTTTCAGCTTGGCTTCTCACTCCTGCTGTGCATTCTTCATGCTGACACTGAGCCCAGACCCTGTCTAGCGACAGGGAGGTCCCTTTACTATCATCTAGCTGCATTTTCCTCAGTTGGTTTTCTGTCCGTATTTCTCCTTCTGTTTTTATTTCACAAAATTCTATGATGAATGTAGTCCCACCCATTTATTTTCCTTACTCTTAAGGGTTTATTGATTTTAGTACATTCATTCCGCCACTCATTCATACCCTGGGAAGAGCAGCATGTGCTCAGTCCACCATTTTGAACCTGGAGACCACCTGGCTATTTGAACACATTGATCGTGTATTGGAGAGCAGTATCTAAGCAAATGACGGGTATTTCTGCCAAATTTCTACTTTTTTTCTGAAATGAATTACCCAAAATCTGAAGGTGGCTGGGAAGGATCAGCTCTTGAGTCCAGCAGAAAACGCTTCTGTGTGACGCTTGTTTTATTCACATTTAGCACAGGATAACCCATCTGTCTAGTCCAGGTGTCCATTACTTCTCTCACCGGCTTCTCACTTGCCTAAGATTAAAAAAAAAAATAGAGAGAGATTAATTAATTTACAAACAAGGGAAGATAAAAAATAGAACAGTCAGGTAAAGAAATGATTAGTAAATCTTCTGTAAGTCAGAACAAGAAATACTTAGGAGTATACTCCTCCTTACCTCTTCCAGTGCTTCCCAAAAATCTGAAGTCTTTGCATTCCTGAAGTGGAATCTTTCCAAGTAAATCTGTATGTAAAAGATAACAAGTACTTTGGAAGTCAGTGCTGCCTTTTCAAAGTTCTATAACATGATTTGAAGCCCTACTCACAACTGCTCAATTCTGCCTCTATAACAAAAGCAACCACAGGCCATGTATAAATGAATGAGCATAGCTTTTTTCAAAAAAAAAACCATATATATGCACACTCATATTTGAATTCTATGTAATTTTCATGTTATGAAATATTCTATTTTGATTTTTTTAACCATTCTCAAATGTAGAAAGCCTTTTTACTTCACAAAACTTAGAAAGTTGGGTGGTAGGCTCGATTTGGTCTATAGGCAGTAGTTTGCTGACCTCTGCTCTAAGGAAATAAATGTATAGTCTTTTTAACAATCACAATAATAATGATGATGGATGGAGTGAGGAAATTATTAAACTTAAAGAATAAATCTTTATTCTTCAAATAATAACAAAATATGAATCTTTAAATGGAAGGCTCCCTCTTTGGGCTATTCTGTTCATAAAACCTTTTTCTGTATATGAATTTTCAGATCTAATGTGATAGAGCCCCAAAGAAAATTCCCAGTCTTCTCATCCCATATCTGGACACTGCTTGAAGTTCTGCAGGAAACTTTCTGAAGTTTCTTTTGTCCTGCTGCATCACTCCTGTTACTTTCTAGAATTATTTCCCATTTAAAAAGCAGACATCTAAGCCTGACATGGTAGTTGCATGCTTCTACTCCCAAATACTTGGGTCTGAGACAGGAGGATTGCAAGTTTGAGGCCAGCCTTACAATTTAGCAAAGTCCTGATCAACTTAGTGAGACCCTGTTTCAAATAAAGAAAAAGAAAGAAAGGAAGAAAGGAAGGGTTGGGAATATGACTCAGTAGTTAAGCACACAGGGTTTAATCCCCAATACCACTCCCTCCCCCTCCTAAAAAAAATCCTAAAATGAAAAAATCTTAGATATAAATAGAAACTTCTTTTTTTTAAAAATTTTTTTTTTTTTTTCCCAGAGCTGGGATTGAACCAAGGGTGTTCTACCACTGAACCACATCCTCAGCACTTTTTTTTTATTTTGAAACAGGATCTCTCTAAGTTGCCTAGAATGGCCTCAAATTCAGGATCCTCCCGCCTCCACTTCCTGAGTCTGTGGGATTACAGGTGGGTGCCACAGAATCTCTGACTCCTTAGGTGTTCTTCATAGTTAACTTAGCACATATCATTTTCCCTCTTAGGTTGCTGTAAATTTTCAATAGGTGCTGTACCTAAGTCACATTATCTTCTAAACTCCTCTCCAATCCAAGCACAGAGAAATTAAACAAGATCTGTGAGACCCCAAGAAGCCTGGGGGAGCACTGAGGCCCATTTGGAACACTGACTTCTTTAAATTCTTTTGATTAATTCACTTCTCAGCACTACCACCAGAGGGCAGGCAAAGGAAGAGAGAAGAAACTATCATTTTTAGGTATTGATTCCAGAGTATTGCACTAATGATTCATTATATCTTAAAAAAAATCAAATACTTGGTATGATACTACTTGGTATGCCTATATGTTAATGACAATTTATATTGATGAGTATCTTCTTAAAATTAATTTAGGTTTTATTTGTATACTCACAAGGTCTTGAGCTTAGAAACAGGCAATCTTGGATCTAGAAGGACTTTAAATATTACTTAGTACATTGCCCACATTTTTTAGATGAAGAAAACTGTTCTGTTTAACTACCTTGAGTGCCTACAAAGGTGAAGAGATTTGCCTAAGATTACTATGAAGAGAATTCTGAATCATGGATCAGTATGTGTGGATTTCATCATGGTGGTTGTTATTTTTTTAATTGCAATTTATTGCTTCTCTGGAACTAGAGGCTGAATGGAAATTTATATAACACTATATGAAAAGGTGTTAATTTTTATTTTGCTTAGATGACTGCTTTTGAATATTCTGTTTGAAGAACTTTCCTTCTTTACCACAAATAATCACAATGTAGTCATTCCAGCTAAAGTTATGCAACACAGTCCCTCATAAGCTGACATTAGTGAGCACAGAAGGAAAGGAACAGTGTTTCTATTGCTAGTATTCCCAAAAGGAAAAACACATGAGCACATTTTCCAGCTCAGCATTCCTGTCTTACCAGGGATACTATTAATACTACAAGAAAAATAAAGGACAAAGTATCTCTCATTTCTTTTCCATAACCACATATTGTTACTAATGACCCATGATCTATTATTTTTAATAGAAAAATTTTAATGATTTATCTATCAAAAATAATGAATGACTTTGCTTTTATTCCCCACACTATCTAAATATTTTGTTGCCTGAGGTTGGATTTGAGGGGCGTGATAAGCATGAAAGATAACAGATATCTGCCATTCCCAGATTCATCACCACCAGGTTAACTAATGCAGCCACTTCTGACAGAGAATCAGTATCTGTAAGGAAAGAGCAGTAATTCCAGTCTGACAGACTGTGGGACTTCCGGGCAACAATCATAGTGTGGTGACTGCAATTCAAGGAGTCTATTTTTTTCAGGTGCCTGAACTATGTGAAAGAATGTCCCAGCTGGTCTGAGAGGTTACTGAATGTGGAATATATTGATCATATGCTATTTTTAGATATTAGCTTTTATTTGAGAGAAAAAGATAAATATTTTAGTGGTTCTTTTTATAAATTCATTTCATAGCACTATAATGGTATGAAAAATTAATATCTATTCATGCCAGTTAGGTTTTAGCATTACATGTGATCATAGTTAGGGTAGAGGAAGATTTCAACTTGAGAAATGTTAGTTTGGGACAACTTTTTAAATTCATGATAATAGATATTAGGTTAAAGGAAATGTGTATTATTGAATTATTAGTTTAGCTATTTGTTTTTAAGGACTTTTTTTTGGCCCTTCTCTAAATAAGTGAATAAGAAAGATCAGCTTTAAAGTCAGTCTTTGAAGTCTGCTCTGAAAATACCAAGGATGTGTGATTTATTAGTGAAAATCTGATTTAGAACGAAAACTTTGCAAATGCAATTTTAACTCAATTTTTGAAGATGAAATTTCTTTTTTATTTCTATATTCTACAATGTCATTTATTATAGTCTATTCATTCATTCATTCAACAAACATTTTCTGGATCACCTAGTATGTGTAACATTTTCTACTAAGCATTGGAGAATATGAAAAAGATGTAGAAGAGAAAGTTCCTCCATAGGGTGCTCACAATGAGGAAAGATGAGATGAAATTTGAGTCTGAGCCAGGCATGGTGGTGCAGGCCTGTAATCCCAGCAGTTCAGAAGGCTGAGGCAGGAGAATCGCAAGTTCAAAGCCAGCCTCAGCAATTTAGTGAGGCCCTAAGCAACTTAGCAAGACCCTGTCACATAATTAAAAAATAAAAAGGCCCAGGGATGTGGCTCAGTGATTAAATGCCCCCCAACCCCAGGTTAAAAAAAAAATTTTGAGTTTGATGGAAAAGTTACAAGATGTTCTCCTGTGCATATAAGCTCACACGTACAGCTTCTCCCTTTGCATCTCACGTCCACACAGAATATTTTATTAATGAACAAAGGAGTAAAATATAGTAGTGCACTCCCTAAATATTTCCTAAATCTTAGTTTTATTTGTTACTTTAATAGTCACTTGGGAATCTTAATATTGGTCTGGAGGGGCCTGCTTCCTTTGAACATCATAGGATTAAGTGCCATGTGAGAAGAGATGGCCATAGTGAGAGCTTTAGGAATGGAGGCATTGTCCTGGGGAATCACATCCCCAAAAGGAACTGGTCCTCCATGTGCGAGTTACTGGGGGCTCTGCTCCAGCCTGTCTTCTGCTTCTGCTTTATGGGTTGGATGTCATCCACACTGTTCCCTGTGACTACTGAGTTATCACAGTAGGGAGTTTGGAGAAGGAAGAGGTAGAAACAGGTTTCCTTTTCTAGGCTGGGAGGGGACCAATCTGCAGACAGGGCAGTTATGGGGACACATTATAATGGCTTTAATAATACATATTATAAAACACCAACCCTGAGACAATTGGATAAAGGTCTACAAGAAAAACAAAACTGAAACCAGATCATCCACTGGAAAATAGGCTTAAGTGGGATGTGTGAAAAATTTAAATTTAGAGAAGTTTTTAAATTTTCTCTTTTTGAAAGGAAGCTGGTCTTCTTTATTTATTGATTCCATCATAAAAATTATATTTAAATTAATTGCTTTCCAATCCAGCCATAAAGAAAAAGTCTTATTCTCGCTGTAAAGGGAAGACCCTTACAGATAGATTTAAATTTTCATATCATATTACCATTGAATGACTGTGTTCCCCTGAAATTCCTATGCTGAACCCAATTCTCAATGTGATGGTATTTAGAAGTGGGGCCTTTGTAAGGTATTCATATTTAGATGAGGTACTGAGGGTGAGACCCTATTGATGATATTAGTGTTCTTACAAAAGAACCATAGTGCTTCTTCTTTGTCATGTAAGGCCACTGCAAGAAGGTGGCCATCTGCAAGACAGGAAGAGGACCCTCACCAGAATTGAATTGGCCAACATCTTGATTCTTGGACTTTCATCCTCCAAAACTGAGAGAAAATAAATTTCTGTTGTTTGAGCCATCAAGACTAATTTGCTATGGAAGCTAGAGCTGGCTGGAACACATGTAAAGTGTATCAAAGATAACTAAGCTGTTTAAACTCCTCCATGACACTCTGGAACTTGATAATTTAGATACAATGTAGGCATTTAACTGGATGTAAAATAACCTTTTATATTTTGCTGTACAGTCTATCCCTGAGTAAGGAAAATGAAAAAGGAATTATCCTTAATGAGCAACATTTCTTAACATTCATCAGTCACAGGTCAGTGTAGCTTACTTTCTATACCACTTAAAGTAATAAATCATACCTGACATCCTCTTCGAAATTTATCTGGTGTTATCCAGTCTTCAAGCATTCTAAGAATAGAAGCTCCCTGTGATGGGAAAAGAAGTGACAAATAAAACTAATAAAAATTATATAGAGAAATATCAGTTATCACTACTGTGGCTGGTATTTCAACATCATATTTGTGAGATTATTTCTTGAAGATGATTCTATTAAATTATATGGTTATAGATTTTAGGATAAAATTCCATTTTATACACCCTAGTATCTATGTTTCTAAAATAACCAAAAGGTAAAGAAATTGCTAAAATGGCCCTCACTTCAGTGACTTACCGTTCCAATGATTATTGCACTTCTCCAAATGAACCAGCAGATGGAGCTTTGTAAATGAAAGAAACTGTCAAAAGATCAGGGGCTTTGATGAATGAAGAAAGAGTTCAGTGTAATATTCTCACAAATTATAAAATGTATCTCCATGAAGGAAAAAATATTGTATTTATCAGAGCGACATAGAGAGTTGAAGATTTATCTGATCAATTTAATATAAATAGTATATAATTTAGATTTTAAAAATCTTCCTCTGTAAAAGTAGTTTATCTATGTGGTTTTCCTTTGTCTGAACAATCTGATGAATACCTGTTTTCTACTTTCCTTTCACATGTTATAAGATTTATATTAAGATGCACTATTTATAAGATTTTTAAATAAATTTTTGAGTAACTGACCAGAAAAACATTGCCTCCCCTACTTAGTAATTTTTACCATAATTTAGCAAGCATTTTAAATTGTTTTCAGACATAGTAAGAAAGCTATTATATGTCATAGAAACATATTTATTTATTTCTGACCTAATATCTTAAGTCCTGGGTATTCTTATGACTCTGGGTATTTGAAACTTGTTCTAACGTCTCCCATGGGAGTTAATGAAATAGACTGTTAGGTAAATAAGAAATTTTCATTTTAACAGAAAGATAAAAAGAATCATTGATAACATGAAGGAAAAAGAATTAAAGAAGACTAAAAAAGACACCATGGGAATAATATGAGAAGGAAAGCCAAAACATATGATGCTATGAATTTCAAATACTAAAACATAGTTTTTTTCACTTAAGTCAAGTTTGATAAGTATTTATTTCAATAATTATGATATAAATAAATAAAACTATATTTTAGGCATCACTTAAAATAACAAATGCTGATCATGATGATGCATGCTTATAATCCCAGTGGCTCAGGAGGCTGAGGCAGGAGGATCGTGAGTTCAAAGCCAGACTCAGCAATTTATCAAGGTCCTACGCAACTTAGTGAGACCCAATCTCAAAATAAAACATAAAAAGGTCTTGGGGGGCTGGGGTTTTGGCTCAGTGGTAGAGCTCTCTCCTAGCATGCGCAAGGCGCTGGATTTGATCCTTAGCACCACATAAAAATAAATAAAATAAAGGTATTGTGCCCAACTACAACTAAATATATATATATATATATATATATATATATATATATATATACATACATACATATATATGTATACATATATTTTTTTAAAGGTCTTGGATGTGACTCAGTTGTTCAGCACTCCTGGGTTCAGTCCTTGGTACAAAAAATCAATGCCCCCCCCCAAAAAAAACCCAAACCAAACTGTATTACTTTGCAGTAGTTTTTGAGTAACTTAATGTAGTGGGTAAACCACAAGAAACCAGAGTGGAAAATTACAAAAATAAAGTTTTAAATGATGTGACATATAGGAATGGGATATGTCTGAAGGAGAAACTGCAGGAGCTGTTGTGGGAGAGAACAGGTAGCACAAAACTTTGGCTTATAGATTTTCAGCAGTGTTTCATAAAAGTTTTATTGGATAAGAATTCCTCATTTATAAAATGCTAACAAGTCATCTTTAAATTTTATCTAAAAATGGACAAGAATATTTCCTTCTAACTGATTTAGATTTAAGTTTATTGGGAGCATTAAAGGATTCTACTAGAAAAAGTGCCCACATATATGGGATTCCTCACTGACAGACCACATAGCAGAAAAGTAAGATACACTGTCTTTAAAACAATTTTAAATTTGATTTTAAAGACTAAATATTTGGGGCTGGGATTGTGGTTCAGTGCTAGAGTGCTCCCCTACGATGCATGGGGCACTGGGTTTGATCCTCAGCACCACGTAAATGTAAAATAGAGATATTGTGTCCACCTAAAACTAAAAATAAATATTAAAAAAAAAGACTAAATGTTTGCTGGGCATGATGGCACATGCCTGTAATCCCAGAGGCTCAGGAGGCTGAGGCAGAAGAATCGTGAGTTCAAAGCCAGCCTCAGCAACTTAGCAAAACCCTATCTCAAAATCAAATATAAAAAAGGGCTGAGGTAGGCTGGGGTTGTGGCTCAGAGGTAGAGAGCTCGCCTAGTATATGTGAGGCACTTGTTTGATCCTCAGCATCACATAAGGTAAAGTAGACATTGTGTTCACCTATTACTAAAAAATAAATATAGTTTTTAAAGGCTGAGGATGTCTCTCAGTGGTTAAGTGCCCCTGGATTCAATTTCTGATTAAAAAAAAAAAAGACTAAATGTTCAATTATCAGAATGAAAGCAGGAAGCAGGTACAAGCACAAATGAAAAGAGAAAAATTCAAACACTGAATTCAAAAATCCTGTGGCAATGCCCAGTTATCATTATCTTGATCTTTAAGCAACCAGATTATAAAATGTAACTGTTAAATTACTACTAATTATAAAAATCAGAGCCCACTTGGTATAATACCATTCTTACCATTTTTAGCCTCTACTTGAAAGAAAAGTCAGTAAACCGGAAGATTTCAAAGCAATGCCAAAGTTCCCCACCTTGCTATAGGATATTCCATCAAAAACAGATGTTATTTCATCAGGGGTTGTCACGGTGACGACTATTGGGTGTGAAGACATTAAAGAATCTTCCTCTTGTACAGGTAATACATCTTCAAGTAATATCTGGTCACGCTGAAATGACAGAACGAGCCAAAGAAATAGAGCACTTCCTTTAGACTGGTGCACATTTTGTAATACCATATATAATAAAAGTTGAGAGAAAATTAATATAAATGACTCAAATTATTTGAAACAAACAGTAGGCCTTCAAATCAGTCATATTTTGCACTGATTGATCTGTACTGATTTCATTTCCTTCTTCAATTTATAACTGCTTTGACTTCATTCTCCTATAAACAGGCCAAAAAGACAAAAATGGGTATGAAGTCTGCTCTGCCACTTCTATGTGACTTTTGGACTATTCCAAACTTTTTAAGCCCCATAGCCACATCTGTGCAATGGGAGCAGTGACATCATTTCATGAGTTTGTTCTGAGAATTAAGTAAAGTAGCATGTCAATTTGCTGAAGCTGAGATTCAGTTTTTATTTCCTGTGAATTTGTCCTTGGAATTTGGATGACTCATAATTAATAAAAAAGAACTAGCTTATTCTTCAGTTCTTATAATCACTTCTCATTTTGTGTTTCTCAGCAAAACAGATTGGTCAAGAGGCCTAAGAATATAGCCCAACTTCATTGGTTCTAAGCTGTCTTTAAGCAAGTTCCCTCCCTCACTAGACAGGGGTAATAATGGCATCTCCTTTGTGGACTTGTGCACAGGATTGAAGATATAATTCATGGTAAGCACTTGATATAGATCCTGGCATGAAAGGAAAACCTAACACCTTAGCTGCTATTATGATTTTATTTCTTAAAGAATAAGAATCTGAAATTTAACTTTGTTAAGTCATTAGTAATTTAAAAATCAGAAACTTTATTGAGCCTACTTAATTTAAAATATTTCCCAAAGGGAAGCATGGCATATTTTTTGACATTTTCCAACTTTATGGTGTCTATTTACAATAGGCGAGGTACTACTGTCAAATGATGACTGCTAGTCAAGATAATTTTGACTTGGATTTTGATTTTTGTACATATAGGTAGTCTGCATAGAGAGAATCCTATTCTCAGTATCTGGAAATTGGACTGCAGTCTTAGCTTCAATATCTATTGTCTATGTGAAAGCTCAAGTGAACTTCCTGGCCCTCAGAGTTTTCACTGATGAAAGAAGGTTCTACAATGCAACTCAAGATTACACTGAGCTTTCATCTCACTCCAGTCAGAATGGCAGTCAAGAATACAAACAAAAACAAAAATACAAACAACAGTAAATTCTGGAGAGGATATGGAGAAAACGGAACACTTTTATGCTGTTGGTGGGATTGAAAATAAGTATAACCACTATGGAAATCAGTATGGAGGTTTCTCAAAAGACTAGGCATGGAACCACCATAGACTCAGATACAGCACTCCACAGTATTCATTCCAAAGAATTGAAGTCATCATACTATAGTGATACATGCATACTCATGTTTATAGCAGCACAATTTACAATAGCCAAGTATCATGAAATCAGCCTAAGTATCCATCAACAGATGACTGGTTAAAGAAAATGTGGTATATATACACAAGGAAGTTTATTCAGCTATACAGAATGAAAGTATGTCATCTACATAAATATGAAGGAAACCTGAGAACATTATGTTAAATGAAAAAAAGCCAAATTCAGAAGGTCAAGGGTCACATGTCTTCTCTCATATGTGTAAATTAGAGGGGAAAAGGGAAAGGAAATGTGGAAGGGTTGTGGTTCAAGAAATTTGAAGGGAAATCAGTAGAGTAGAGGAAAGGGATTGGTGGAGGAGGGAAGGAGGGAAAGGGGAAATGCTGGGGAAACAATATTGGCCAAATTACACTGTTACATTGTGTATATGTACGGATATGAAACAATGAATCCCACAATCACATACAACTATAATGCACCAATAAAAATATGGAAAACAAGAAAAAGAAAGCTTTGATTAAAAAAAAACAAAGAAATAAGGCTTCACTATTGTGATACCATAAAGTTCTCTCACAAAACATTTCTCTTTATCTGACCCCTTCACCAACAAGACTTTGAATTAGGAACTCATTAAGGGCTTAGAATACATTTTATTTATTTTGGGGTCCTCTCTAGTTTTCCTAAATGAAGAATGAATGATTGGATGAAGGAACAGATAAACTGTGAATATATTATACAGTATGATTAATTTTTTTTGCAATTTCAAGAACTGCATACCAAATCTTTCTGGAATTTTATCAGTGTTCTTGAAACACTGAAACTAAAGTATCAGACACTATTAAAACATAATTTCTTATAACAGTTTGATATAAGAAGGGTATCGGATTCCTTTGAAAGAAGGCTGAAATGATTTTCTTATTTATGTAGTTTATTTTCAATAAGTTATAAAATCATACATTTTCAGTGTAGATGAGTGGTTCTTATCTACTCCAGGAAATTTTTTGTCCTCAGGTGCCATTTGGAAGTATATGAGGACATTTTTGGTTGTCACAACTGGGGCAAGATGGGTACAAGAATTATCTTGTCCCTGATGTCAACAGTTCCATGGATAAAAAATCATGATATAGATTAAAATTTTAAAGAAGCAATAATTGCAAATTAGATTTTTTACTTTTTTAAAGCAGGTTAGGGAAATGGCAAGGGTTTCAGGCATTTATATTTATAGTTCTTCCCAGTAGAGGGCAGTATTCTACATAGAACACAATCTCCTAATTCTCTACTCCCACATTTATATCTCTGTGGACACACACATTCATAGGTACAATCAGATAAGAATACTAACACCATCTTAATATAAATACAAAGTATAGCTAAGTTTTCTAAACAAACAAAAAATCTATAGAATTTACATGGGTATTTTTTTCCAGGTCCCTCAGGGGTACACTTTATGTTAATAGTCAATATATGTATATTCTGGAAGCTTTTAAAGCTTCTAAGATAGAGAACAATGTCCTTATTGAACACTGAAGAGAGAACTAAGGAGAGCTTATATAACTTGCTCAAGGTCACATTTCTGTCATGAATCTAAGAAATGATGTGTCTGAGATTTGAACTTGTAGCTAACTACTAAGTTTATTCTTTTATCTCTTCACCACACTATTAGAGCACGCTGTCTAAGGTAAATAGTTTACAAAATAAGACAGACATTTTTCAAAGGGTTAGCACATAGATATTTCTTGAACATAGGGTTGGCATTTTCTATGCTGGCTGTCTTTTTATTTTATTTTTTTTCTGCCTCAACATGTATTTTTAAGTGATTATCTCAAAGATATCCCCAAGTATATCTCTCAGGGATATCTGATGTGGTGGTCAGTTGTCTTGTAGGGACCAGGCATTGGCTTTAAGCATAGTTCTCTGGAAGCCAGCTGGCTCCACCCTATTCTCACAATGAACTTCCCAAAGCACAATACCCTTGGATCCTGACACTGGCTTGTTATTGTGCTTTGTATAATGAAAAGAAGAGATCTGGAATGCATGTGCTCTGGGCTCACCATTTGCCACTCTTTTTCTGCATGGTCTACTCCCAGGAATTCAAAGAAAGAAGCAAATCCTTCATTCAGCCACAGGTCTTCCCACCAGTCCATGGTTACAATATTTCCAAACCACTGAAATGATAAGCAATAAAGATAGAGTTCAATTCTTCTTATGATAGAAGAGACTAGAAAATTTCAAAACAATTATTTATCCATCTAAATTTTGACACTGTGACAGAGAAGCGGCAAGCACTATATTTATTTCCTGCTTTACTTAATGATATTAAATTCTCCTTGCCTTATTACCTTTATTTAGATATTACTGAAAATCTATAAAGTTATAGGAAGGCCTGTGCATTTACCAATGGCAAAATATTTTTTTAAAGTTTCTTTATGGTTAAATACATATTAGCACTAATAATGGTCTTCATGCAGGATTTTCTGAATCAGCTATTTTTTATTTGCTAAGTCATAGATAATTTGAATTATTCCTATGGTTTTAAGTCTGTTTCAAAAGCAAGTTGAGACACGTGTGGTGGCACATGCCTATAATCCCAGCAGCTTGGGAAGCTGAGGCAGGAGGATTGTGGGGTCAAAGCCAGCCTCAGCAATGGCGAGGCGCTAAGCAACTCAGTAAGACCCTGTCTCTAAATAAAATACAAAACAGGGCTGGGGGATGTGGCTCAGTGGTTGAGTGCCCCTGAGTTCAATCCCTAGTAACCGGGAAAAAAAAAAAAAAGAAAGTTGACTTGATGCCAATATCCCATGCACACCTGATGCACAAGTTCGTGGGAAATCACAGTGGCCACCCTCTGTTGGTTGGATGAGGCTGATTCCTGAGGGTCATAAAGCAGGTTTGTTTCTCTGTAAGTGACAAGTCCCCAGTTCTCCATGGCACCAGTGCCAAAGTCTGGAATAGCGATTTTATCTATGGAAAAAGAAAGACTCCAGTGAGAAATGCATTCTTTCCATTTGTTCATAGCATTTCTTACCAAATTCAGTTCTTTGGATGAATGTTTTGTAAAAATCTAAAAATAATTTCTTAGAGTGAGAAACAGTAATGGTTTATTCAAACATTTTGGTCTTAAAACTTCCAGGGAGTTTTTCCTTTTGGCTCTAAGATAGCAACGTGTCTTTTTTTTTTTTTTTTCCTAAAAAGAAGACTACTCATGTCTTCTTTTTTCAAGGCTTTATAATTTTATGTCTTTTGTTACTCTCTATATGGACTTTCTTTATATTAGGTTTCTCCCCCTTCCAAGATTTTCACTTATTTTATGAAAAGCATCTGTTTTGAGGATAAGCTGTGAAGAGAAAGAGAATAGAGAGTCTTCAAATCAGGACTGAGAAATAAAGAGTGGCTAAGGGCACAGAAATAAATCTCTAACCAAGAATAGAGAATACGAAACTTCCTTTCCCCTTTAATTCTATAGTTTGAGGTCCACCTGATTCTCCACCAATCGAATAGTTTACTATGCACTTAGGTGTATTAAATAAGATGGAGAATCATGGAATCGGTTATATTCTCTCTTCCTTCTCTTCCAGGTCTAAAGTGTCGGATTTTGCGAGGAGTTCCTATTCTTTATGTTTGCTGAGGCTGATAATAGACCTAATACCTGGCAAAAGGAGGAAGCCTTGAGCAGCTAAACCCCCAAATAGAAAATGCTCAGTTGATTAGTGGAAAATACAGATTCCCTGGACAATGAACCATAATCAGCATGTAATTTTTTCATTACATAGAATTTAAATGAGGGACAAAAGTGGAAATAAACTGAAGTTTTCATCTAATATGTAAGAAAAGCCCTTTCTCGTTATATTGTATACAGGTGCAGATATGACGACGAATCTCACTGTTATGTATGATTATGGTGCACCAATAAAAAGATCCCGAAAACCCAACAAAACCAAGAAAAGCCCTTTATTTCTGGTTAAAATAAAGATTTCTGAAGCATAAAGCTTTTCAAAAAGGGACATATCTTAAGCGGAGGTCAAGATACAGTAGTAGTTTACTTTTTAGGTTTTATTGTTTTGTCATAAGAATATCCCTGAAAGGATGGAGCAGTATCTCCACCAAGTGCTGATATTTTTCAAAATATTATGAAGTGTAATTTGCACGTTATCACTGAATAAAATTTTATGGTAATATCATGTCTGGTTGAGTATTGGAATTATAATTAAATAGCATTATAATTATAATTAAATAACACTAGTACATTTAACTTTTGGAGTGTAATGAGTGTAGAAGTTATGTCTATGATGCATTTAATTGTGAAAGAGTTAAAAATGTTCATAAAAGAATATAAAGAAGGAGCAAGAGAGAGGGAGGAAAAAAGGAGAAGAGCCAGAGAAATTCACCAGTAGTTCCACTTCCCAGGTTACTTTGGGCAGTACAAGTGAGATAAAGAGTGTGTGTATGTGTGGGGGAATCCTTTGAATTCAGGTGCTTCATATTTTATTAATTATTCTTCTGATTTGGATGAAGATTTGCTTCTCTTTTTGTCTCCTTCTGTAATCATTGTTAAGCAATAAAAAAAAAATGGGAACTGTTTCCACTGGGAAAAAAAAAATACAAACTTGCTCCCAGTCATAGCTATTCTCATGTAGGAAATTTGTCATTCGAGTTGTTTTGCATTGATAATTTATTAAGGAAGGGCAGACAGAAGAGCAAGGAAGCTGATTGTTGGCTGGTTTGTTCTTTCACTGCCTTCATTTCATCACTACAAGCAACTCTATGGGTCTTAAATTTTAAGTTCTGCCAACACCACTCAAGTTTATTAATAAGGTATTTCTGCTATTTATAGAAATGTCATACCCACACTATTCTGGTTACAGTCTGACTTTTGTTTTAAAAGGAAAACTTGCCTCCCTCCATATCAGGAAAAAAACAAAAGAGATGTTTCTGGAAGGAGCACCAGCATTTCATTTTAACTGCTGGAGAATCTAGAATTAGTCTTGCACAACAATGGGAAGATTGGAAGCACATGGAACTCTTGCGACATCAATTACCCCTCTTCTTTTCCAGCCCACAGATGATGGGAAGGCATGTACACTATTGGGATGGATGCTGGTTGTTTAAGCTAATCTGGTTTGCTGTTTCTGTTCCATCATTAATAAGCTCTGCAGTTCGGTGCACATACTTTTATTTTTGATCATTTTTGTTTGTAAATAAACACTGTACATAGATCCAAACAGAGTATACACATTATTTTTGGAAGAATCCAGAATGGATGTCTCAACATCATCTAGTTAATATCACACACATATAGTAAGCATATAAGAAAAGGACTTAGGGATGACAGTTAGATGCAATGAATCAACTCAGGTAAAAACAAAGGCAATATTAAAAATAGAAAAAAAATAATTCTTACCTAATTTAGGAAGAGAATAATTGATAGCAAAGTAGTTTTCAAAATAGTCAAATATAATTTTAGTCATGTTTGCAGCATACTCAGCTGTGTGTTTTTGCTCTGGCTGGACATAAATAGTGAGCTAACAAAATACAAAAAAAAAACACAGTGAAAATTATGCATTTGATAAAACACAAATAAACTATAATATGTAATATAGTCAAAAGGGCTTTGGAGTCAGATAAATCTAATTTGAATCCCAGTTCTGTTTCATACTAGCTGTGTTGATTGTGGACAAATCACCTCACCAGTGTGTGAAAGGTCTACATAAATTGTATCACTCATTGAGCAACTTTAGTGACTGGAAATAGTGTTAGACAGCACATGCATGGTGGCACATGCCTATAATCCCCGTGGCTCTGGAGGCTGAGGCACGAGGATTGAGAGTTGAAAGCCGGTCTCAGCAACTTAGGGAGGCCCTAAGCAACTCAGTGAGACCCTGTCTCTAAATAAAATACAAAAAAAGGCTGGAAATGTGGCTCAGTGGTTAAGTGCCACTGAGTTCAATTCCTGGTACCCAAAACAAAAAGTGTAAGATGCAATGGTTCAAAACGTTAAAAGATGTTATTACTTTTTCTATCAATAAATATATTTTCTTCTTAAATTCTATGCATCTATTCAACCTTCAAACCACCTACTAATCTGTCTTCTACCTCTGCTTTTCTCTGCATGTGTGTAGAATGTCTTTCAGGAAATGAATTCCTGTGATTTTTATTCTCATCTAAAAGTCCCTGAACACATGTTTCTCTTTGTGCTATTCTATCCAGCTTTTCCACATAATCTTTTCTTTATTTCAACTATTTTGTTCCCAGAGCCTAAAATATAATGATCCAAAATTTTCCTGAAAGGGAGTCATCTTCAAAAGCTACATCAACTCTCTAATTTGCTAGGGTATTATTTCTTGCCGCTATGACAAGATTTATCAATCAAACCAAGCATATTTTTCCCCAATTCTAAGTTTGTATGATTTTTAAAAAAATTCAAGGATCTTCTTAATCATAATGTTATGCAAGTAGATGTGGTTCCTAGACACCAGGTTTATGTGCAAGAATATCACAGGTGTTCAGCATTTCTCTGTATGCAAAAAAGAAAAAGGTGCTTCAGACAGAGTCTGAAGTCAGCTGGAGTCAGCTAGATTGGGCTGAAGGTTTGTGAGAAGTTCAAGTGAAATATGCATACTCACCCCAAGGCCTGATCAAAAACCTTCAGGGAAAGCAAAAGATGTACCTAGTAAATTCAAGGCCACTGACCTAATCAGAACAGATGACTCAAGGTATAACAAAAGAATTTTTTTAAAAAAAGATGCCTACTCTTTTCTTTCACTATTTATAGAGCATTACTGGTTTTGCTGTTCATGACAGCACACATCTTTAGTCATCTTTTCTCAGCAGTGAAGAACAGTAGAAAGATCCAATAAGATAAAGGACAAATTCTTGAATTATCAGCACTGGCTCATGATTCTCATATGCACTGGGTGACATTCTTGCCTGATTTGGAAAAATAAATACATGCTCAAGAACAACACAACTCACTCAAAGATCTTCTCAACATTTGATTTTTTTTTAACTTGTCAAAAATGACGAGTGACCTATTTTCTCCCTGTCCTTTTGGTGAATAGTGACATGAATTTTCCAAGCAGTTATGTGAAACTGAGGATCCAGTGGATGCTCACTGTATGAAACAAAGATAATAGGGTAACCGACCATATGGAACTAAAGCCAGTGGGATCACACAGGATTGCCATGTTGTTCATCTAGAGTCTCACAGTCTTCCCTCTGTGAACCAACTAGTGTGATCAAACTTTCTCAGATTTTCTGCCGTGTCTATTCTCTACCATTAAACACATAAGAAGGTAACAGGTCCTCTTGATTCACTCCATCACACACACTATGTGCTTCTGTGGTGTGCACAATGATGGGGAGTTAAAGAGGGTTGACAAAGAAGAGGAAAGGACAACTATGAGGCCTCTTGCCCTAGGCGAAGCAACGGGAAGAGAGACTCCATGTGTTCTTAGAGCTCATTTCCCACGCTGGTTCATGGGCTCCTTTGAAGTAGCATGCTTCTGAAACAATAAAATTCACTTTTTCTTCCTCTATATTTTTTCCAATATTGATGGTGACAGCAGAAGAAATGAGGTTTCTTTAGATAAGATTGGTATCGATGTAGAGTCAATCCAAATCAAAGCAGTTCCTTTCCTCTTCTGTTTCCGAGAAACCCTGCCCCACAGAAGAATGCTTCGTCTTTGCAGCCAAGCCAGTCTGCAGATTATCTGTGATCTATGACCCTTCAAAGCGAGGCTGTAGATCATACTTTATGACCACTGTTAGAGTGATTGAACTGCGCAATCACAGGTTATATAGGTATGGCCCATTAATTTTGTAATAAGCCAACATTGTCTGTCAATTGAAGCTCCCAAGTAGCGTGTGTTGGGGGAGGAGCGTTGAACTTCAGAATCTCTGTGATGTCTGCATTTGGGGCGTTAGAAAGCATCTACCCTCCTCTGCCAACACCTTTGCTCCCCCTCTGTGTGCTTTTCCTGCTGTCTGACCTTGTCTTCAACATAAGCTCCATTGACATCCCTCTCTCCTTTCTCTGGCCCTTGGTGAAGGTGTTAACTCATCTGCTAAGTCTCAGCATTCTGTGCAGGACAAAGTGCAGTAAATAACCTCTGACTTGTCATCACTTTTCAATAATAATTTCTCTCTTTCTAATCCACATATTTGCTCTACCGAGATGACATTTTAAAAGTGAATGAGTAGGGCTGGGGTTGTAGCTCAGTGGTAGAGTAAGTGTGAGGCCCTGGGCTCCATCCTCATGTGGGGAAAAGGGCACACTTGTACACTGCTGGTGGGACTGCAAAATGGTGAGGCCAATTTGGAAAGCAGTATGGAGATTCCTGGGAAAGCTGGGAATGGATCCACCATTTGACCCAGCTATAGCCCTTCTCCGACTAT